CTCCCCCTGTCTTTCTCTTGTGGCCACTTTGATCAAATCTGTGCTCTTACGTCCTTGACTGCTGCCCCCGATGCCTGACCCCTGCATTTAAAATTTCCCCGCTTATGTAAAAGTTTATGTAGATTAATGCCACAATTTATGCAGATTCAGTTTTTGCCACTCAGGCTTGAAGCACTAAAAGGTAGACGAGCGTCTGACCTTCGGCGCTATCGGCTACGTGAGCTCTCACCGATTATCTCATCACTGCGGCACACAGAGTGACTTCTGTTGAAGAGATGGAGAGAAATCCCAGGACTCATAATGTACCATTTCAAACTTTTTTGTTTACTGAGTTGTTTAAAACAGCGGTCTTTTGTAAAAAAAAAAAAAGGCATTCGGGAGCCTCTGTATGGTCAATGTCATCAAACATAGATTGTCCCCTCTTTAAAACTTCACGCGTCCCGCAGCGTCTGTCAAACAGAAAACAAACTCCAGTGGAGGTATCAAGCAGCCGTGTGTGTGTCAGGCCGAGACTACGCAGAGCCATAAACTCAGAAGTGGCAGCAGCATCGGTGAGGTTGAACAGTCAAGTACCATCAAGCGCAGTTTGCCATAGAATTGGGTCTATCTGAAAGCAAACAAAAGGCTCACACTTGACTCGAACTGCTCCATGTAGGCTAAGTGCGAGCAAGCCTGTCTGACACTGGAAAATGGCTTTCAGTGTGAGCAGACAAAGCAGAAGAGTAGAGAGTGTCAGCGGTAAATGTCACCGTTATAACTTTCATGGAGAGAAAAAAGAAAGCCGTTCCATTTAGCTGTGCCTGTCATGTAGTGGTACATGGCTGAAAGGGAAAAGTCAAGGTAACTGCAGAAGTTCTGAATGTATAGATATTTCTATAAATTGTGTGATATGAGTTTCTTTCATTTTTCACTTTAATATAAATAACCTTCAATAACAAAACACTCACTTCAATTGTTCCCACATATCATTCCAATTAATACATCTTTGCTGATTTATATCATCCTCACAAACTCCCCCTCCCATCTCTGTTAAGAACTTTTGGCAGAGAATTTCTTGACATGTCATTCAAGGCCTACAGCAGCTCTCTGTGTTGGTATTAATGGCGATAGCTTTACAGCAGCATTTCATGCAAGCAGAGCCTCCTTCAGGTTGCTAACCCTCTTCACATTTTACACAAACACAAAGTGACCCGCCAGTCAAGCAGTTAAGACAACATGTCAGCTGAAGTTAGAGCTACATTGAGCTAAAAGCCCAAGCTGGCACTGAGGCCTGGAGGGAAAACAGCTGTTCACTTCAGTGTGTGTGAGGGAGTTTTCCTATGTGTGTACTAAACAGTATACCGTAAGTGTGGCTGCACTATTTAGATGTTTCTGTGTCCTGTTGAGCCGTGCAGCGTCTCTTTCACATTCTTAGATAATGATGCCTCATCTTACATGTCAGTGTGTCATGTCATCGCTGCTGTTTGCATTATTAACCTCGTAGTCTGATTAAAAACTTGATCAAATCCTACCATTTCACAGCTTCCCAAACCTACAGGTGAATGTTATCAAATATTGAATCTACAAATGTCGCTGTGCCAGTTCATTGCCAGTCATCACAGGAGAAAATCCTCCTCGCTTTAAATCTCAGATATAACTTGAGAAGTGCTTTATTGAAGGTAAAGAATACTGGGAGAAGAATGAGGGGGTCAACAGGGATTCATTTTAAAGTAGTCTTTGCATTAAGATGTTCAGTTTAGCCGATATTTGTGTAAAGGTTGTGTCATGCACTTTGTCTTGAGCACTCAACCAGCAGAAAACATGATTCACCCTCATCCTCGTGCTTTTATTCAGCCATGCACTGACCCTCTTCAGGAAACTCTTTCTGTCTTTGTACATTGATGAAGTGTTTGGTGCCATCAGAATAAAACTTAACTGTTGTTTTATTCGGGAGTGAGTATTTATTTATTTTTAGCATTTGAAGGGTAAAATGTATAGTTTTATCTTGCAGCAGTATTTGATTCACACATTCATTTACTTTCAAATCAGTGATATCATTATTTGACACCTGGAAGCAGTCAGAGAACGCCTTGTGATAGAAATGAGTGTTGTTAATACCAGTGAAGGTTGTGTGAACTGATCATATATACCTCTTCTCCTCCAGGGTCAGTTCTCCTGCAGCAGACGGACAGAGATGGCCGGACTGCTCTGGATCTGGATCTCACAACAAGTGAGAGGGAGGAGCTCCTCCACAGCACGCAGGTCGGAGACTCCTCCCTCCAAATAGCATCAAACGAGGTCTTGAACCTGCCCTTCTTGGAGGCCGGATCCTGTCTGCTGGCCACCCTCATGTTGTCCTACCAGCGAGAGAGGGGCCTACCGGGCCGAGTGCAGCCCAGTGACAAAGCCCACAGTCTGGGCTACAAGCTGGTCAGGGCCCTAGAGGAACACTCACTCCAAAGAGTGACTACAGGGTGGAGCGACCAGCGGGCCGTGAGGCTGGTGGAGGACACAGAGACAATGTTGGGGCTCTGCAGGGGGCGTTACCTGGGGCAGCTTTGGACAGCACTGAGAGAGTGCAAAGGTGACAACACGGTGCTTCTAATGGCCTCATTGGAGGAGCTCAAGTCACGAGCAGAAGCACTGCAAGCTGTCCTGTGACAGACACAATGGAAAACCAAAACAAATAGCCCTGAAATGTATTTATGTTGAATTTTGGGTTGTTGTTTTTTTTTTGGTTTTTTAACACTAACGTTGCTGTAAAGTTACTACCTCAATTTCTAGTTCTGGTTTTCTTCACCTAATAAGAATAGGATGTTTTTTGTTTCACTTGTTAACTATTTCTAGAAAAATTAATTAACATACCTGTTGGATTCATTTGTTACGATGTGAAGTCATTCAGGCAGCTTTCAAAGTTACTGCCACAGTGAAAGAGAGTTAAACTAGTTCTCACAGACGTTCTCCTGGTCTGAGATGATCTAATGTGGTCAGCGACGCGGACAGATGTGAAGGATGAGCTACTTCCTGAAGCTGAACATGAAATAGGAGAGGGGCTTAGGCCGGCATGTTGGGGAAGGGCCGAGTGGGCGACGGAGAAGAGGAGGTGAGGAAAGGGGGATTTGAACCTGAAATGTGAAACAGTAAGATGGATGGCCTTATGTTGGTTCAGTGTTTCCAAAGAAAAGAGGCTTTGTTTTGCAATAATCCACACACTGTGAAGATGATAAAAAATATTTAATCTCATGTTTGTTTTCTATAATTTTGTCTTTCAAAATAAGCAACAAACATCAGATGCATTTCATTTTGCAAACAGGAAATATACATTATTTTCTTTCACCCTTTCTGACCAACCCCTGTCTCAAATCTTTATCCCTATCCTGAAATGTTATTGGTCAAAACCGGGCACATGGAGATGATGTCACAGGCAGGCAACATCGCAGGCGCAAACGGACAGAATCTTTAAAAAATGAGACAGGCATCTACATTACAATATCATCACCAGACCGTCAACAGGCATACTGTATAAAATACAAACTTAAATTAATAATTAGATAGCTCTGTACAGTACTGTTCAAAAAAATAGTCTCATTTCAACTTGGTGCAAATAAAAGTGCTTTTTTTCCCCTCTACAGCTGTCAGTCTGATACATTCCTTTGTATTATTGATTTTCCCAACATCATACAAAACAAAAACACTTTGGTTTGCTTGCAAACAGAATCAAAACCAAATAATAAATGATACAAAATTAAGAGACGGTATTAGGATGCAATACCACACAATAGTCACCACAGTTTGCTGTAAAAGAAGTACATACAGTAGTAGACATACATTTCAAGGTATTCAAACAGTCCCCTCAGGCATTAAAAAAAAGACATCCTTCACAAGCTGCAGAGTGTGTTTGTTGAGGAGGCTATAATCAGTCTGCGACGCTGCTCTTGGGGGACAGTCTGTTATTGTCTTTCAAGTGGATTCCTCAAAGCAGCAAAACAAAATCAATGGCCCTCTAGAGTGACAGATCCGAGCCTGTTGATATTTAAGCATGGAGATGGATGGAAGGAGGGGGAGGGAGGGTAGAGGCGACGCTAGGCAGACAGGCAGGGCGAGAGGATGACAAAATGGCAGCAAAGAGCTCTGATTGCGGTGCAGAGGGGGTTTAGGGCAATAAAGACAGACAGAGAGATAGACAGACAGACAAAGGAGAAAGAATAAGACGGAGGAGCAGGGGAAAAGATGGAGGCAGGGATCAGTAGGATGAGACGAGACCTCCTCAAATGTAGCCTGAGTTGTGATCTTTCAACAGATGCTCAGCAAGAAGCCCAGGAGACCGTCCCTTCAGACAGGGTCGCAACCCGACTCACTGACGAAGGAGGGACGCGCAGAGAGAGCAAACAGAGAGAGGCATGATGGGAAGACGGGGTCTGAAATAGCATCACACACATACACACGCATCCCGATCAGTCCCTGACATCTCAGGCCTGAGTCCCCTCAGAGCCTCATCCTGTCACACAGAGACTCGCTGCTCATCTAACTGACGGCTTTCTACACCAGCAAACTCCAGCTGGCACTTCTGCTGCAACACACACACACACACACACACACTCTGGATTTTACATGCTGACACACACACACCGACTGAATCTGCACACCAGTCTACAGCTGGAGGGGAGATACAATTGTAACACACCCCGGCGCTGAGAAAAGCAACATGTCTTTGATTGCATAAACGTGTATACACAAACGCTCTGACATGCACAGTTCACAGACACACACACACATGCCTCTGTCTGTGGAACGAGAGATCAAAGTTGAGCTGTGGGCACTGGAGGTGGGGCAGATGGAGAGGGCGGCCAGCCTGGGGCACAGCATCACAGAGAGCATGTTTGTGTGTTTGTGTGAGCGCATGTGCCTGAGAGGGAGAGAATGTGCGAACTGGATGTTACGCTTTCATCTGTAGGTACGGTGTGTGTGCGTGAGATCTCTTAAAGAAGTATTCACTAAGAGGATGTTTTTTTTGTGGGTGGGTGTGTGTGTTTGTGCATATGTGTGTGTGTGTCTGTGTGGCTGCACAGGGAGACATGAGGAAAGGGGACCAGCCTTTCAAACAAGATTAGAGCAGAGGTTGCCTAAAGGCCTGACTGCCTGGCGTCGCTGCATAGACTGGGTGACATCTATATTAACACCACGACAGCAGAAGATCCCGGTCTGATGTCCCTCTCGACTGACAGAGGAGGTGTCTCACTGATTGACAGCTGGGGGGTTGTCTTAAAGGGGGTTACATGTAGCTGCAGTGACATTTCTTTACATTAAGTCACAATAAAAAGGTCATAAATTCCGTTTCTTTTCCTCTTTGGGTAATGTTGGTAATGACACTTTTGATTTTATTTTATAAAGCACATACAGTACTTGCTCTACTTTGCACTTTTACAACCATCCACTGTAGATTTTTTTTTTTTTTTTTAGGTTGTTTGTGTTTCTTCTTTTTTTTTTAAGAAAAAGCTCATTTGGCCGTCGTGTTTATACAGACAGACACCACAACAAGCCTTCAACTTATTGGTCCAGTTTCCTGTACCCGTGGAACGACATGTCTGCAGGCTAACACCATAATTGTTAATCAACTTGGCCGGCTGAGTAAAGTGGAAACATTTCAAATTACTGCCTGTGAAAGTAACATCATCGCATCCAGGGGGAAAAAAAACAAGGGAGATACTCCAGTGCAAAAACAATTAGAAAAATGAACATATAACCAAAATCATTGAATAACAACAATAAGAGTCTATTGCAGAGTGATAATGCTTCAGAATGTATAAGGCTTGTATTTTGATAAACAAGGACTCGCTGAAAAAAAGTCGGTTTGGTACGTTAAATGTTTAAACTCTTGTCACTTGTTTGACACTTGTGGCAGGAATATGGACGGAGTCCTCCGAACTCTTTGAGTGATGAAAGCAAGAAAAGGAGGAGAGAGGCTCACACGGCAGAGAAAAAAAAAGTCATTCCATCCATACTTTAAAAATCAATCAAAAGCATAACAGGGATAGAAATAATTCAAGACATTTCTTGTACTCTGCATTTTTCATACAAAAAATTACACTCCAGGAAACTGTACCATAACATTTGAGTAAGTAAAGACTGATAAAAAGGTTAAGAGAAGAAAAAAAAAAAAGGGAGAGATAAAACGGAAGAATAGTTGAGCAGAGCTGGTCTGCCTCTGCTCCTCAGAGTCCAGTAATAGACCACGGAAAGAAAAGTGGAGAAGAGAGAAGTTGGTGGGCGGACACAGTCATCTACCCGGGGTTGTTTTTCTTCCTTTTATTTGGACTGGGATTGGGATCCAGTTTCAGCTCTCGGTACTGCACCTGTTAAAACACACACACACACACAAACACACACCACCCGGTCAGGTGGAAAGAGCAAAGGATGCTTGAATAGCACAGAAACCCTCCAGAGACTCTCTGAGTCCAGCTGTGTGGAACAGTGGCCTCAGGGAAGGGATTACACACTGATTACAACACGCGCACACACGTACACAAACACACACGCAGATGCAGAGAAAGACACTGACATGGACACGCACACACATAACATAATACACGTACACTGTTCAAAGCTCCAGATACACTCCTGCTTACACACAGACGCACACATGTATTTATAAATGTACACACACATTCTTTCACAGATGTGGGACAGTGGCCTAAGGGAAGGGATCACACAAACAAACAGAGAACACGGCAAGGCCTCATGGGAAAGCTTGGAGAAACAACACAGTCATCCCGGCATGGTGAGATGGAGAGAAAGGAAGGAGAGACGGATGCAGTTACCCTTTTAAACCCAAAAGCTTGTGCTTAGATAGTACAGTAGGTATGCTTCCTACAGAGTCAAACACTACTGATTATATGACTGTAATTGTTGAAATAAATTAAAAGAATAAACGTTATACTCTTATTTCATGTTGTCACAAAAAAGAGGCAGTTATAAAAGTCAAACATGTAGGATTGTTTCTGTGACAAAAAAAAAAATGTCGGTGGTTAAATATGTACTATGAAAGAAGCACACAGGAGATTTTCACTGTGTTTGCATCATTCATGACAAAAAATGGGGAAAAACAATTCCTTACAATACAATCTCTCCAACATCGTTCTCTCTCTGTGTGCAGGCTGGTTGAGATAGCTGTCAGAGAGCCTTCTGTAAATGAGCAGCTTCTTCTAAGTAGACCTGACCTTATGAGGCTCCTGTTAGTCTTTGGATGCACAACGGCATCATCAACATATGACAACTATTTTAAGTCCCTTTAACTGTTTGAGCTTCAGACAGTGGAAGAATAGTTTCCTTTTTCAATGCAATAAAAGTGTCCTGAAATGTCCTTGTGAACAAAGTAAATACTTTGACATTGACGGGGTTTGATTGCAGTGTGCGCTTTAGTTCAAGGCATCACACAGCAGCTATCTGTGCCACGCTGTATCCACAGAGCTACACTGATATTTCAAAGCAGGATTTGACTTTCTCTAAAGCCTCATGTTGTAATTTTTTAACAGTTATGTAACCTGATCGAAATCAAAACTCACTGTTTGCTACACCTGGAGTCTCATGTGTATCACCGTCCAGCTGGTGTCAAATCAAAACATTGCGGGGGTAAATTATGGACCATTTCTTGACCAGGAGCAGTGACCTCCTAGAGAGTGATTGTCCCTGAGGGTTGACAGGCAACTGGAGATAGTTATAAGATATATTGTGTTGATGAGTTGAGTTTGGGCTGCACGGTGGCTGCAGTGGAAGAGATTCCTGGTTTGAATCCCCGTCGGACAGGAGCCCACACGTGCACGGGGAGAACAGGAGTTAGCATGTTCTCCTGTGCATGGGTGGGTTCTCTCCAGGTACTCTGGCTTCCTCCCACAGTCCAAAGACATGCTCGTCTCATCAATTGGTGACTCTAAATTGCCGGTAGGTGTGAATGTGGCTGGTTGTCTGTCTCTATGTGTCCGCCCTGTGATTGACTGGTGAACAGTCCAGGGTGTACCCCGCCTCTCACCCAATGACAGCGGGGATCGGCTCCAGCCCCTTCCACCCCGAAAACGGGAAATGGTAAAGATAGCTAATGGATGGATGTAGTTGAGTTTGCTGGCAGTGGTTTGTATATATTGTTTCCTTTAATCAAAGCAAGGCTAGCTGTTTCCCCCTAGTTTTAATGCTAAGCTAAGCAAACCCTTACATGTTCATGTAAATGTAACAGACACCTAAAAAGAACAGAAGTCATTTCCTAAACGTATCAAAACTATTTCTGTAATAGCATAATTTATCCTGACATTTTAAATCTTAAGACAACTTTTGCATCACTTTGTATCAGTAGATTCTAAAAAGAGAGATTTTAGCGACACACTTTCACTGTAGTGATTTTCTGTAACGTCACTGAGGGAGTGTCACGTTTTTTCTTCCCATAGCAGACTGACTTCCACTTCATGCACTGCAATTCAAAGATGGTGAGCAGAGCTTAGAAAGAAACAGCTCCTAAGTGATGGACACTCGATACGCAACAGCATCACAGTGGCTGAGCGTCAACAACCAGAGACTGTCACTCTGGTAGTCTCTCACTTTCAGATGTACACACGCACACACTTGTGCATGCACACACAAATACAGTCGCTAGCCTAGACAGATTCAAGACACTGACAAGCGCTAGCCACTGAATCAGAATACTAATAAGGGGGAAAAAAAAAAAAAAACTTAAGCGTCACAGCACCAAAGAGCCAGTATCGTCTGTGGGATCCTTCCTGGGCTGACGTACTGTAGGCTACTCTGCCTGTCTGACTGACTGACACCCTCTCTGATTTTTCCAGGCAGACAACAAACTGACGTCAACACGGCTTCTCTGTTCTGTCTCGTGGTGGGTCTGTCTGCTGTGGACGAGAACAGCAGCGTCTGGCTGGGAATGAGCCTTTATGATACATCTTCTACTGGTTCCCACTGTCGCTTCAAAGAAGCTTTCCAGTGTCCTCTGCCTGCAGTGTACACATCTCAGATGCAAAGAGGCATGTGTTTGTGTGGGTTTGTTACATGGACATGCACATCCTGCACCTCCCATACAGATCTGAACACTGCACACACACACACACACACACACACACACACACACACACAATGGGGTACAACAGTTCTTCTGTCTCACAGTCATGGTCACCAATGTCTCGTTAAGGTGCTTACAGAGTGGTTAGGCCAGCATGTGTTGCTCTCTACGCCTCACTAGGCAGCCAGCAGACTGCACTGATTCAGATCTGGACACTCCTCACTGTCTCCACAAGGCAAACTGACATCCTACCAAACAGCTGTACAAATACGACCACAATGTTAGATACAGCGAGGGAGAGAGATATGAGGAGATAGCATGAAAGGCAACAAGGAAATAATCCAGGTGGAGAAAACAAGGGAAGGAAGGATTGGTGGGATAAAGGAACAGAAATAGACGGGCAGATGAGGGGAGGGCAGAGAGCGGGACAAACCAACAAAGAAAACGGGAGAGAAAACAATGAGAGTGAAGAGGAGACTGAGTGAGACAGGGGGGAGATATGTGGACACCCGGGTGATGACAGATACTGTTCTCATGTGGGTGTGGATCCTTCAATAGCCCTGCCAACTAAAGCAGACAACGGAGCAAAAACTCAGGGGACAGAGAGGGGTTTATACGACCCCATCTGTGTGTGTGTGTGTGTGTGTGTGTGTGTGTGTGTGTGTGGGGGGGGGGGTGTGTGTGTGTGTGTGTGTGTGTGTGTGTGTGTGGGGGGGGGGGGGGTGTTTAGTAGTATTTTTGGACCATGACAGTCCTGGCACAGTGCCCACATTGATGGCGATCAATGACAGTAGTGCACCCATGGATGAACAAGTGAGTGAATGGTTGACTGATTTAATTCACTCATGAGTGAAGGAGTAACTGCACAGCTGTATGTTGGGTAAATAAATGGACATTAATTGTTCATATAAAATTACTGCAAGCAAAAAATCCCCCGTTATCAAAATGTTTTTCCATGTGCAACTTCTTTTTCTCTCTTGTTGTTTGCTGAATGATTCAGGCAAGCTGACGTTGATCCAAAAGTAGGACGGCATCTCTTTCTGTTAGTGGTCCCATTATAAGGACAAACGCCTACGGCAGAAAAAAGGAACAGGCAATTTAATTCTGCACGTTGACAATCCTGTCCAAACAAAACTCTTTGTGAGCGTAGACAAACAAAAGTTTGCATGTCACAGAAAAGTACGGTTTTGTTTTCCGATGAAGAGCAGCGAAGGGGCTCGAAAGAAACGGTGATAAAGAAAAAAAAAAAACACATCTCAATCAAACAGTTGTTTTGTCTGTGAAGAGCTGCCAGCCAAGAGAAACGGCGCATCACAGGTTCCATTCCACCTTACAGGTGACAGGCCTGCCACATGATATACCCTTGGCTTCCCTGCTCAACCCCAACTTATAACATGCACATACGCACGCACACACATAAGCATATACACACATCAACCAAATAAAAGCTAGATAAAGTCAGACGACAAGGCAGAGGAGGCAAGCAGAAAGTGGGACGTTAGCAAAATAAAAGAAAACCGAAATTGGGTGAATGTTAAAAAAGTGTGGTAATGCGGGCGAGCACATAAGCAATTTGGTAGCACAAGTGGGGAGCTTGAAGGGAACATAGACAAGAGAAGCAGTGGGTAAAGACCCAGTGCTGCTCAAAGGCTGCTCCACCCTCGCTCCTCTCCCAAATGTTGACAGTACAAGCGTGAAAAACAGGCTTTGAAGTGTGCTCTGCTGAAGGGGCGCTGTGTACCATGCATCGTGCTTCATTTTATCCGTGTTACCCACAAAGCATCCCAGGACCTGCTCCTCTCTCTCCCCGTTTCTTATTCTCTCTTAGTCTCCCTCTCATACTGTCGGTGTGGGCAAATAGACAGGCCCAAAGAAAGTTGGGTGCAATAGGCGACTATTTTAATGATACTATGTTATTCTGGCTTTCAGAGAGAGCAAAACTAGGCGGGTTTCATCTCATGTGACGCCTAATGGAGCATAAGGGTTATTAAATGTTCCCAGGGAAACACTGTTGTGTATAGTTCACACATCTGCAGATCGGAGGATTCAGCACTCACGTCTAGTGTTGGGAGAGGAAAGGCATGTCAAGGTGACATCAACCAGTGAGGAAAAAAAAAGATAAAAGTAAGGAAAGTTTTGCCTATTAGCTGCTGTGGCATGACACATACTGAATAGTGACTAATTGGCCACTCGCAGTGAGATGTTTAAATTTGTCACAAAAGCGGGGAAGGACAAAGCAAAGGAGAGAGACCTCTGGTTGATGTAAGTGATGGCATCTGGCAACGTTTCAACCTTTAACTATCCTGCCTTTGACCCCCTCTATGTCCAGTGAGGCTTAATTCCCAACATAAATGTTGTCTAAAAATATTAACCCCACTCCCCACTGCTCATTAAGCGCTAAATTGGAATTCATGCTTATTTTTGTACAGGGGGTTTGATCCAGCTTCTTTACACCGATCATAAAAGGCCACTTGGCATGCTAATTGCCTTGGCCCTACTTATGCACTCCCTAGCTCACATGGCTAATGGTGTCGTAAAACATACTACTGCACTGACACCTCCCAAACGCCAGGTAGGGAAAACTTTGCCCTATAAAGGTGCTCAGTTTGGCCTCGTTTAAGAGGACATGAAGGATTCCTTGATAATGACCCCAACGATAGCTAATGCTGGCAAAGGATCCAATCCAGATACAGGAAACTGTTGCCCAAAGAGGGACAATGGCTCTTCCACATACACATGCACTAGAAACCATGGGAGCTTTTAACATCTCCGCTCACAGAGGGGTGTAATGATTTAAGTAAACTGTTCAGGTGGTAAAAGGTAACACTGCTTGTTGAGGCTTCAATGCAACCCTGGGTATTGGGTTTTTAACGGGTGTTTGACGGTGCTCTTAAAGGATCAGAGTCACTTATTTTAAAGAGCTTGGTTTGCAAGAGTGTTGTTAAAAAAATGCAAAGTTTCTATTTTGTCCTGTACATGAAATAAATTAAAGAAAGAAGACGCAACTGAGTGTCAAAAAGAGTTTGCATAGTAGCTGTGCAGCTCAAGAAAGTTGGACTGTGGTTCTGTGTGGATGAACTTTGTATATCAAGTCATTAGAGTCTCATCAGTCCTAGCTGCACCTCTAAATGAAGTGGAAAGCTTCACTGAAACACCACGACCCATTATACGCATCACTTCTAAGAGAGCGTGTGTGTGTCATTATTAATGTGTGTCAGGTCACCCCGGGCCCTGAAATAGCACTTCATTAGTCATCCAAGGTATCAGGCATAGTGATTCTTTGCCCCAATACCAGGGGGTGCCATGGACACATGCCAGGGAGGGGACACTGCATTTGGATGCCAGGACCTGTGTGCATCATCCCAGAACCTACAGGGTCTAATCCCCATGGACGGCTTTGAACCAGTAAGGCTGGGGCAGGCAATGAGGTGAAGCCACCACCGCAGGCTGCGGTGGGATGCGCCACAGAGCAGAACGTACTGGTCTGTTTTTAGCCGTTGACCAAGAACATGATGTCTTTGCAGAAAATTAACCTTTGAATTCAAAGAGAAAGTGATCAGTGCAGCTCTCAGTTCTTTCTCAGCGAGCCAAACAACGACCCTAAACTTCACATAGCTATTCAGTTATTGTTATAAACAAAATGTCCAGACCTGAACATCCTCAACCGTCTTCTCCTGAAAGCTACACCCCCCCCCAACTCTTTCACCTTCATTACTCTGTACGCTTGCACACTGTCAGTGAAACCTGGCAACGATCACCATTCTGACAGCTGCAGCAATAGCTGTTACAGTAGCACTTACAGTATTTGCTATACAGTAGGCACAACTCCAGCAGAATGGGCACCAGACCAGAGCAGCATGTCTGCCCTCACCTTCCCCAGCCAGCAGGCCCTCATTAGGGGCCTTGTAAAGGACTAATACCTGCAGGGTATGGGGCCCTTCACTACTCCACTCCTCCAGGCTCCAGGTGTGTAAGGTGGCTGCACTCAACAGAGGGGACAGCTTGGGCTCATTTAAGCCGAGAGCTACCTGCCTTGTGCCCCAGTAAACTATGAAACTGTAAAAACTGACAGGGGCAGACAGGAGGAGAACACGGGGGGGGGGGGGGTTTGGCAGGGGTGTGCAGGGGAGCAAGGATTACGACCCTGTAAAGATGAAAGAAGTTGTGGGCAACAAGCGATCAAAGAGGAAGTGTGTCAGCACTGATGTGGCACGGGATTGGTCGTATCATTGCCCCTGGTCGTTCAGCGTCAGCCTGCATGTGAGTTTATCTGTGCGTTCATGTGCATGTATTGAACTCAACACAGCAGGGATTAACTGCCACAGCGGACACCATCGGTGCCGGATAACCTACGACTTTCACAAGCTGCCGCTTAATTGCTGTTTAAACTGCACTTCATCCTGAGCAGCATAGCACAGTTAACACACACAAACACACACACACACACACACACACACACACACACAATATTTTAACCAACAAAGCCTCTGTAGTCCTGAGCCACAAAGTTAATCTGATCTCACGCTTAATGTAAAAGCAAAACCGCATGAGGCTGGTTAAGTGTTGGTTGACACTCTGTTTCAATTACTAGCATAGCTGGGAAACAACAGCTAACTGTTACAGCATGTTTGCACGTGTATGGAGACAAATCAACCTAGTTATAAGCTGGGCATTAAAGTCTGACAGGGAAAGAGAATGAAAGAAAAGACAGAGAAAGATGGGATTATAAAAGGACACCTAACCCTTGCCCATGTCTGGAACTGACAGATGTGTTGTCAAAAAGACAGAAAAAGATGAAACAAAGATGAAAGTGTAGAGTTCACCCACCACTTGTACATCTGAGGGCACTCTGGACAGAAAATCTAGCAGCTCGTTGTTATCAATAGTGTAAGGGTCTCGGAGCTTTTTGGTGAATTTATTAACACCTGTAGAGAGAGAGAGAGGGAGAAACGGAGGGGACCAGAAGGGAAGAGTGGGTAAAGACAGATAGGCATGTAATATTGCATGTTGTACCAGTCCTTCAAGCCTTTATGGCTTAAATATTTAAGAATCAAACTTTACAAAAAAAGAATGAAGGCTGCAAATGAACCTGTTCTTGCTTTTGTTTAAATGGACATAGTTTTAAATTCAAGCATTCCGTTAAATATAATTTCTTACAAGCACAGTGCATGTAAACAATCTTCCCACATTTGAGAGTCGCTCACCCCAGGCCAGCACGATGTATCTTAACGGAATGAAGTAGATGAGGAGGGTGGCCACTCCGAGAGCCACGATGGCCAGCCAGCTTAAAAAAGGCACAGTCCAGTTGAAAGTGCTGAAAAGAGAAGAAAAAAAGAGGGACTGTAAAAATGAGGAAACATGGCAAAGCTCCGTCTATCTTTACATAGATATGGAGAATAGAGTGAGTAAATGAGGGCTTTTCAATACTTTTCAACCCAAACAAGCTGATCAGGATAATCGGGCATCGCTAATTTATCACACTCACCTGAGTTTGCAGAAGGAAAGAACTTCAGCAAATGTCTTACAGGTCACGATTTCAGGGTGAAATAGGCTATGGATATTACAATTACCGTACATAATATGATCAGTAAAATGATTTTTATGTTATGGAAAAACCCCAAGTCCCAGATGATTCTGTATGATTTTAAATATTTGTACTTATAATTAAATAAATGAAGTTGCATGTGTATGCAGTAGTGTACAGTAAATACGTGGTTTGTGCGTTTTCATGGTGTATTTCCTCAGAGCAGCACTGAGTTCAACTCAGTGAGGCTAACAAGAGGAAGCGGGGCAACCTGGTATGGCAGAAGAAACTCTGGGGCATGCAGAGCGCAGCGGAGCGGGCCGGGTGCCGAGGAGTGGGCTTACGACTCACTTCTTTATCCTCTCGCCATAGGAGGCCACTTCATCCAGTGCATTCTGCACGCTGATGCACACGTCCTGAATGGCATAAAGCTTGTTGATGAAACCCTTTCTCTCCGAGTCCTGCATGAGAACAGATAGAGATGTAGGCGAGGGAGAAATAAAGTAAAGGGTGAGGGAAGAAGAGATCGAGAGAGTGAGAGGAAGAGAGAGAGAGACAGAGGACAGAGAAAGAAGAGTCTGGGCACAGGCATCGTTGTGGAAACAATACATTTTAAATAGCGTCAAAGATTTGGAGTGGGGGAGCCAAATCACCGGATATCCTGCATGAACTGACGGAGCGCTTTCATTCCAGGGAGTAATAGAGATATAAAGTCGGCAGAACAAATCTAAATGTTTTCCTCCTTACAAAAGCTCACACAAGAAAATTTGAATATGTGAATAGAGAGGCAGAATTAAACTCAAAGCCAAATGGATACATCAATCTTTGGGCGTTCTGTCTTTCTCTGCGGCTGCCAAGACAGCTAGGAAGACCGGGCAGAGCCATCTTTTGTTCTGCTGGCTTGCACACTGTGATGATGTCACCAGCCATGACATCATTATCATCCTTATTAACACCGTCACCCACCACGAAGAGCTCTTCCTTTTCCACTTTTGATGGTTGGGAACTTGAGAATATTGTGAAGGGGCGGGGGAAGAGACTACGCAGGCTATGTAAAATCTGCAAAAAACCCATCCTCTTTCTGAAACAAAGTGAAGAATTCAAGAAGTCATGCAACAGTCAACGAGCTGCCTGCTGACTGACGGACAGGCAGGGACAGGAATGATCTGGACGTAATGAGGAGACAGAGACTGTTGAGAGCCTTTGGCTGAGTGAGGACATCGACACGCAGACCAGTGTGCGGCTAAATGTGACTGGTGGTCATGCTCTGCAGACAAAAAGGGGACATAACAAGAAGGTGCACTATCTATGTGAGAGGTACAAGAGTTCCTGGTGGTACTTTCATGGGTGCTCAGTTTACAAACTGGCAAGGGAAGAAGACTTTCATTATGTCGTCCAGCACCTTTATGTTACAAGCCTAACACAAAAGAAACAGTAAAAGTAGTTTGTCCAACTCATACATTTATAATTTGATTTTGTTCTTAAGGGCTGGGTGTTACTAGATAATCCCATGTTTGCTCTAACCCCTATTTTAAATGATAAATATAAACACATTAAACCTTACAAGAGAATTAATGTTAGAGAGCTCTTTGAAGAACAGAAGTTAATAAACAGATAAACAGAAAAAAAGATTAGGTTTTAGTAAAATAAGTTTTAAGAGTAACCATGAGATTATGGCCCAAGCCTTCATGGCCATTACATATTTATTTTGTGTTACAGAGGCTGTATGTAAGTGATGGCTGCGTTATTGCTGAAGATGGATGGACATTGTTAAATAAGAGAAGTAAAACTCTGAGTAATCCTCATCATTAAAACCAAAGACGACAGGGAAGGAGTCAAAGACATGAAACCTGAAGGACCCCGAAGGCCTTTACCACATTTTGAGGGCCCCCCCACCTCACCATAACCCTCCCACTGAGACCCAAAACACCCCACCAGCCCCCCTTTACTTCCCCAAAACCCAACCTCTTCTTTTGACTCTCCATCCAGGATCAGATAATGTGAAAAATGAACCATGGAGCAGCCAGGGAGACCACATGGCCTCCCCAGCAAAACCACACAAGACAAATAGATATAATTAGACAGCGTCCCTGGGTTATTTTTCTTCACAAATATATTACAAGACTCCCTTTCTTTCTTTCCTTCTCTCTCCTCCTCTTCTCAGAGTCCATCTGTTTTTCATTGCTCGCTCAAACAAATCTCTGAACGCAGGGCCTATTGTGCCGGGCTGGGTTAGGCCGGGCCGAGCCGGGCTGGGCTGGGTCAGGTCGTTTTTTTTTTTTTTTCGGATCCCGGACTCAGGGGAGAGTGTTTGAGGGCTAGGGGAGTGGTGTGAGAGAGCAAGCGGGGGTGGAGAGGATAGGTCAGAGGTCGTCGGGGTATAAACCATTGCCACATGCCCCTCGGACTGCGGGTCTGACTCTTATTTCCTGTCTTCAAACACGGCGTGGGGAGGCAGGAGGTAGGAATAATACAGAGGGCCACGGAGAACCTTGTTTTCCCAGCTTCCCTGCACACTGTGCACATATGGAGCCAGGCAACCTGTTCTTATAACGCAACCTTATATGCACACAACTACACACACACACACACCCTGCAGCTATTAGATAAGGTTGATCTGCACACCTGGTCTTGCTGTTTGACTCTGCAAACGATATTATATTCCGGCAGAGATTAAACGATGAGGGCCCTCGACTTTTAAAAACGGGTTCTTTCTCTACTGAGCAAGTTTGTTTGAGTTTGCAATGTCATCACTGAAAGAGAGAGAACCGAAACAGAAAGATGAGGAGGGAGACGCATCAGAGTGAAGGTTAAATAGAGCTTTCTTTTGAGAGTGATATTTAACAAAATGTTAAAATATTTAAACCAGGAGGTAGCACATTTACTCATCCTCACAAGTGGATCCATCACTGGTGGATTAGGTTCAATCAAGGACTCAGTTTGGTGACGCTTTCTATGATATTGTGACAAATTCAGCCCGTGTGTCTATATGACTTTTCCTGTGTCTGTCAGGGAGCATGAGTTGGACTGTTTGGAGACCTAAAGGCACAGCTAATTAAATTAAATCTGTGAGGCCTCTCCTTTCTAATGGCTCCTGTATCTAGACATGTGTAGGCCTAAAATCATGTTACAAATCCAACAGCTCTGACAACATGGCTGGAATCAGTCAGACAGATCGTGTAAGAAGCCTGCCTAATGAATTTAGCATCATCATTTTTTATCACAACTGCAGTTTAATCTGTAATGGATTATGCTGACTTGTAACAGTTCCTGTTAGTCAGCTAAATTTACTAAAATATGTCATTTCAGTCGGCTGAAAGAACAGTTTTTGATGTTTGCATCGTCTTTAAGAATGACCTGGATCTATGTACTCATATTGTTTATATTTCTCTTTGGTATAAATGTCACATTTGTTTGTATGGGAAGTTTCTGCCACAATTATACTTGATTTGAACCAAAGCCCCACAGAAGGATACACCATTTAGTACCTTAAACCCTGATCTTGTCTGCATTTCACAGCCAACAGTACCCTTACTTTGTTAGTGATGTGTAGCCAGATCTCAATAGCCTCATCAGCTACGTAATAGCGGGACAAAATTGTAGCCACACAGTGTAGCCTGCTAATAAATTTGGTGTGGAAAAACAACAACAACACGGGAGACAAAGGACAACAAAGGAGGATGTATAAATACAATATACAAATATATAATATAAATGGCTCTGAGGGCCTTTACACATTTCTTTGTATTAATAGTACTAATTGATTCTCTGTCTTTTCTTGCTTGTTGGGCTACCACTGATTGTGATCATTAAGTTTTTAGTTACTGTACAATAAAGGGTCAGGACAAAACAGAGGAGATGTAAACTCTGTAGAACTGCAAACTACTGTGTCATGAATCAAAAAAGTGCACTGAGAATGTTTGGCTGTGAAGCAGAAAGTCTTTGACATCAATTACCTCTCATCAGGTTGAAATATTTTGTAGTCTTTTTCTTTGTTGTCAGAGATTTGTTTTAATTGCTTCTTTGGGGTTTAAAGACATATTTTTATTTTTTGGGGTTATGTCCAAAGTTTGCATCATTGTTTGGATGCTTGCATTGGGATATGAAATCTTAGCCAAGCACCAATCAATTTTGCATCGAGCCACCCTGAGTGCAAGTATTGCTGTGCGGGCTGCATCATGGGAGCGCTTCCATCAGGGGAGGCAGAGGCGGGAAGGCTCGTTAAAGTGATGTGAGTTGTTTGCATGCGTTAAGGAGAGACAACCCTCAGTAACACCAGAGAGCGCCCAGGGACATACGCTCTCACACACACACACACACACACACACACACACACACACACACACACACACACACACACACACACACACACACACAAAGAAACAGCCATGTAAGGCTAACCACACTGCACGTGCTGGTAAATTGTGGTAAACAAATGTGGTAAACTCCTTGAAACACTTGATTAAATATTTAACAAAGGAAAGATGCACAATGCCTCTGTGTACTCGACTGCTCCACTTCTCTTTCAGCGATACAGCATCACTGTAGAGTACGTTTAAAAGCAAAAGTGCAAAGCGAGCAGTTGTAAACTTAGCAAAGACAGTTTGTTCCTCGCTGACCCAAGGCCTAGAGCTAAACAAGAGAGAGGTCACTGAGGACTCAGCCTATAACGATGGACTCAAATATCTGTCCTATATCTACTGGGTGGAAATAGAGAGAGCCATCTGAGACTGCTTTAACCTCAGATCACGTTGTTCCCATTGCTGGTTTATGACGTCAAAATGATAAACCTAACCGTTATAATGTAGCTGCATATATACCCATCGCACAGTGAAATGAGTCTGAACCACAAGTGGCTGCTGTTCATTGCTGCTGTGCTAAAATTGCACCTGTTTTTCTTTGTTGTTCTTGTTGCCTCTCTCCCTCTGACGGCACAGTAAAAATTGAAATGTCATATAAAACGTGACAGGATGCTAATATGTGGCTCCCAGAGGGCATCTGAAAGCGCTCTTGTTGATTTTGTAACTGCAGAGGGAGTCAGCCTCCCTCCTGTTTCCATCCAAGGAAAAAGAAAAAAAGAAACATTGAGAAGTTGAGATTGTTGAGGAATGCTTTAGGGGTGACACTTATTCAATGAACTAAGTCTGTGCAGGAATTGGGAATGACAGAATTATAAATACTCTTTAGACTAGGCATCTACTGCATATCTGATGTGTGATGTTTTGCCAGGTCACAAAACAGTTAAACATGGATCTAAGAGAATAACCATTTAGGTAAGAGAGAATGTTTTACTGGTTAATTAATTCAGTCTATTGTGTAGGTTATACATATGTGGTTTACAATGTTGAGTTAAAGTATGGCTCATGTATAAAAGAAAGCTATCAGGAGTATAAGTATATTGAAAAATACTCATAGTCTGTTTTTGTTCATTTTCATGAACAAAGGTAATAATGTATTATTTGCATTGCTGAGTTTTTCCTAGCTGGTATGATAAGCCAAATTTGTATTGCATGTTTGTATTTTAAAATCTGTTTATGAGACTCTTGGAAAAAAAATGTGTATCCAGAATAATACAATAAGGAGTCTCTTGTGTTGACCTTACACATTGCTACTTTACTAAACACAGAGGCAAATTATGTAAGCCAATAATTGCCCTTAAAATTAAAACTAATATGTCGTCTGTGTCTATTTCAAGTATAACCTACTCCACTGGGGAGCAATGAGTTACATATTTCACCCACTGGGAGTTAACTTAAGAGAGACTTGTAAGGGGGGGGGGGGGAGAAAACTTGGGAACCCAGTGGCCTAGAAGATCATCTCATCTCTGTCAGGAAATGACAACAAGACGAGACAAAGGCCCTGCGACCGGCCTCAGATACCACCATGCAACCTGGCAACTCTCCAGCACCACATGAAAGAAGCAGATGTTCCTTCTTTTTTCAGGGTTGCCGTTTGAATAAATAATTTATTTCATACACAACAACTAATCCATGAGCAAATGTGGGGAATACATCTCTATTTCCCCTCCCTCTCTTTACATCATAAGCACATAAATATTTGTTTAACTAGGGTGTTGAGATGCGCTGCACGTCTTCATGTCCCTCATCAAGCAGCTCACACAGACAGAGACACACACACACACACACACACACACACACACAAAAGGCAAAAGGCAACAATTGAGATGTAAAAGGGCGTCCTGCTCCCATAGGCTTTAGGTTTTGATTCTAAGAACGATACGAGTTATGCATAATTAGGGGCATGACCGATCTGACTGCAATCAGCTGCACTCTAGTGGTTTGTCAGGTAGCTTAAGGCTTCTTTGCCTGTAATTTGTTTGACCGAAAGTTTGATAGAGTCAGCATTTCTAATATTGGACAGGCTCCCAAAACAACCCTTCAGAAACCAATGGTTGACGTCACTCAGACTAAGTCCATGTTTACGTACAGTCTACGGTGTGTACGAGATATAGACACATTTCTTTGAGGACCTCTGTGTGCATTGAGGGCTGCCTCTAAAAAGCCAAAGTCAAACTCCAGTTAAGACTGTCAGCTCAAGGTGGACCAGACAGAAACAATGGTCTCTAGTACTCATTAGTCTCTTCAAGCAGACTAGTCCCATAGCGGGGATAAATTTACACATATGTAAAAAAGACAGGGATGGGGGGGGGGAGAGAGAGAGAGAGAGAGAGAGAGAGAGAGAGAGAGAGAGAGAGAGAGAGAGAGAGAGAGAGAGAGAGAGAGAGAAAGGGAATAGAAGAAAGAGTTGGAGGTGATGCTGGCTTATTTTCGGTTTGACCTCTGCCTCTTGTCCTAAAGAGAAAGGTTTCTGTTGTTACAACGTGTGTCTGTGTGTGTGTCTGTCTAATGTGTCTGGGTGGCAGGAGGTTGTTTGCCACTGATCATCTTTACCCATCACCCCTGGGGGCCTCTCATCACCTCCACCACACCAGCCACTCCATCAGACTCAAGGTCGGGGGCACACCCACACACATAAATGACTAGCTCTCCAAAACTTCTGCACTTGATCACTTTCCCTTCCTCGCCTCCTGCTGAACGCCACCCGACCCCCGCCTACCCTGCACCCCCAGCCTGCTCCATCCTCCCCCCCACTTTGCCTCACCTCTGCTCCCCTGCTCCTGTGCTCTCCTTTCCCTGTCCTTCCCAGGATCCAGCCTGGCAATGTGTGATGAATGGGACAACATTACTCCTGTCCTCTGTTGGCCTGGTTAAGCTGCTCCCGCCCATCTCCCTCCATCTGTCAGTCTGTCTGTCTGTTTGTCTGTCTCTGTCCCCCGGTCTGAGCTGGCTTAAAAAACATATGCTACAGCAAAACTGTATCTCTGGATTTGTTTAATCAATCCAAAATAAAGGTACACATGAACTCTTTTATCTTGATAAAGGGATTGGAAAAAAAGCAGGTTTTATGATTCTGTAAGGAGAGGTATGTATTTAAACGAGTCTATTCTGTTTAATTAAGAATTTTAACAACACCACACTTAAATTTGTTTCAATCATTAAATTTCATCGTACACTTGTGCAAGTTAAAACACATTCCATTCATCACCTCAGTCTGTAAAACTCTCGATAACTTTGGCGCTCCTTTAATCATATATTCAGGTTCAGAGACACTCAAGCAAAAGAAACAGCTGTAACAGCCACTGTTTTAAACTTTGTTTTGGAAAGGGGGAAAAAAAAACGACAGTGCGAGAGTGCATCGCTATGAAGTGAGGGGATCACATCTTCAAAAAAGTAAATAAAATATGCATCCTCTCTGTGCTCATTACAGATTTATGACTCTTGTTAAAAGAAAAGGTGGCGGCTGCCTTCTAACATGTCTGACTTTCAAATTCAGACGACACTGCTGTCAAGTGTTGTGCTCCACATTCTGTCCAATGAGAGACCAGGGGGGCTGAGTGTGTGTGCCATCTTCCACATCTTATTTGGTGAGAGTCACGTCGAGAGTTACTTTGGGTGAATGAGAGCACACAAGAACTCCTCACCTACAGAGCAACGAGAGCTCATTGGAATCCTTTGATGCATAGTTCATCAGTCAGAAAGTTCAGTTGGTTCAGCTGCTTGCGTGTATGTGATTCAGAACAATAACAGTTGGGGGAGTCGACATTGCTGCATTAGGCATAATGAGCATTGGGATTTGCTCCAGCAATATGAAATAGTTTTTGCTGTTTCTTCAGCAACTTTTAAAGAAAAGAGCGCTCACAAGTGCTTTCACATCACCCAACCACCCACAAATGAAACTGGTGCACACATACACATTCAGGGTTGTGAACTCCTGAGAAAATTAGTTTGTTACGTGCTTATTATCTGTGACTTAGGGGTCATAAGGTGTGAAAACAATCATTATTTGTGAGAGGAATCTAATTAGTGCTTTCCAAAACAAAAAATCTAAATAGGAAAGGATTGAATTCCCTTATGGCCCCTCTCTCTGCACAGACTACATCCAAAGCAAGTACAATTACACTCTAGTCACTCCTAATGTCACCTTTTAGTACCCAAGAGTCAAAAGTCCCACAAGCAAAACATAGTTAACACTCTGTTGCGCTACATTCTACAGCTGTCACCTTGCAGTGTGACACGTTTACAGTGCTACAGGCAAGTCACACAAGAAGACGGGAGCAGCCTTCCATGCTGGAGCCCCATTAGCTCCCCCATCACCTTAAAGAGCAGGCAGAGGCTGAGGCCTTGAGGCGGGGTTTGGGTTGCGGGCTGAACGTGCAGTGCATAGGTGCTGACTGAGACGTGGACAGGGGGACAAGGGGGCTCAACACACACCCCGACAGGACGGCAGACAAGAGGCCGCCAGACAGACGATGAGCTAACTAGGAAAACCGGAAGACAGCAACACACACCATCAGGAGACAGTGCCAGAGCCACACACATGCCCACTTACCATCGTTCGTATCCACTCAAAGTGCCAGGAAGCCAACATATCCTCGAGGATATGGTTTTTATCACGGCTGTCCTCCCAGGGGCCTGGTTTACGGTCCTTATGGATAGATTACAGTGAGATTTTCTCTTTACATCCCAAAGAAATAAGGGTGAAAGAGTGAAAGAAAGAATGTGGTGTTTCACAGCTGGCGCCTTATAAATGATGCTTTGGCCAATGAGCCAAAACTAGACTGCAGTTTGTAGAAAAGAATAACTTTGTTCTCAACTTATGAACTTTAGAGACTGTAATAAAAAGTATTGCAATGGAAACATCTTGTCTTGGTACTCACCTTTGTTTGGACAAAGCAAATGCATTGATAGTTAAAAGGTGGCTGATTTGAGGCTTGTGTTTCTGCGTCCATTTGGACAGCTCAGAGAAGAAAGTCTTTAAACTTTGCATTAACAACGCGTATACGGTGAACTATGCTAACGTTATGGTGTACTGTCCAAGCTAGAAAGAAAACACAGTGCAAAAAAAAACAAAATTGCATTTAAATAACAAAGGCCGAAGTTGAAGTAGAATTGTAGAAAGAATGGCAAAGAGTCAGCGAACGAAGGAGAAATGAGAGAAAGCAAAAGACAAAGGGGGAGATATGCATCTTGCGGGAATAGAGATAATAAAAGATGATCCACCTGATGTATGTGTGTGACAAAGAGGAAAAACAAATAAACAACGCAGTGTATTTTGCATAGAGAGACAATACCCCACCATGCCTCTTTCACCCTCCTTTTTGTTTTCATTCCTCCCTCTATTAGCAAAACATGATTAAAATGCAGTTCCTACCAGCGTCTCTGCTGAACAACGGGGGGAAGAAAACAGACTGTGAGATGGGAAGAAAAATGAAGCGGAAAAGTCAAAGCATCTTTTACAGCGTGACGCTTTTCATCCTTCACAGGCGGTGAGAAGGGAAGAACACAGACATTCAAACTTTTTTTTCTCTTCCCCTCTGTCTCTCTCTCTCCCATTCTTCTCAAGAGCAAAAAACCCCCCTGATACCTGAGGACAACCCCACTGCATTACAATCTCAATAGCCTGGCAAGAAACAACATTTCAGTCACACTTTTTTTCAGAGCATTGATATAATTCCCATTGCTCTCTTTAGTCCAATTACATTATGCCATGTTGCTATCTGAGCGATCAGCGCAGTGCCGTGACTGGGATCGAGAGAGGAGCGCCGGGGCTAAGGAAGGTGCTGCAGAGCTCAACGTGCAATCTGGAGATAAGTCGAAAAACTTGCTCTGTTTAAAATATATTCACACTGATACAAAGTGTGTGGCTTATTTAACATTACATGGAGCAGGGAGCCTAGGCACTTGTTTATTGATACACGGAGGAAGGGACTAGTGCTTACAGAAAGACGATGGGGAGGACAAGAGACCTATAGACAGAAAAGAAGAGATTCTATAGGTTCAAAGAAGTCACTTAGAGTTGCTGTGAGGCCCTGCAGGTTAAGAACTGGATATGTATCGGAAAACTCATTCACCGGGAGTTATATGCTTCCTAGATAACCATTTATAAGCACGCACATGTACGCAATTGGTTGTGTTTGTGTGTGTGCACATGTATGTGCAGAAGTCATGCCTACAGGGAAAGCAGCAAAGGTTGAACGGCTGTCTCTGCACTATGGATGAGAAAGATAAAGAGATAGTAGGGTGCAGGAAGACAGCTGTGTGGCAAGAGAAATTGAGAATGGAAGGATCATGTATGCTCTGTTTTATAAACCCAGTGCATCAGTTGCATTGCACTCTTAAAACTGATGGAACAGGCATGCCTCCAATTTTTGGGAACCTTTTTTGGATCACTGATTGGGTGGGAATTCTCTGACATCATACTCAGGGTTGGAGGGTCATATGTTATTATAATACTGCAGTGTTACTGTGTTGTGAATAGTATAATGAAAAGGATTACATTATTAAAGGAGTATTGCTATTGTAAGACTACTGTGAATAACCTAAGACTGGTTATAGCTCTGTAATTTGTCGAATAGTTTGTGAATCCCAAAAGTTATCGGCTGTTCAAAAATAACAATGACAACAACTAAAATTAGAGACACATGTCTCAGTGAATTGGCCAACATATAAGAGTTACAATTACTTCTCAATTTAGTATTAATTCAACGTTTACAGGTCCATGAGCTCAAGCTAAATAAAGTCAAGTCTATGATTATATTTACCATCTGATTTGCTCGGGAGAGGGAGAAAATGAGCAAACAGGAGAGGAATGCAGTGTGTGTGTGTGTGTGTGTGTGTGTGTGTGTGTGTGTGTGTGTGTGTGTGTGTGTGTGTGTGTGTGTGTGTGTGTGTGTGTGTAATATAGATAGATAGACATAGAGTTAGAAAAGAGAGGGAGTGCACCAAGCAGTAAGCCCGTGAGCAGGACATGATTGCAGTGTGTATCTTATCTGTGTCAGGTCCTCCTGAGGCTAGTGGAGCCTAGCTGAGCGGAGCACGAGCGCTTCAGTGACCAGTCAACCGTGTGAGGGTAATCTCCTCACTCCTTCAGTCTGTCTCTCTCTCTCTCTCTCTCTGTCCCTCTCTCCTTTTTGCTAGTAAGCCCCCTCCCTCCCCCCCTCCCTTGGAAGGCAGCTGTGCAACTGCACACACACAACTGAGACGCTGACACAGACACACAAATGCATTTACCGGCACAAACACTCATACCCATGCAGAGCCTAAAGGTGATTGCCTCGGCTGTGGACAGTGAGCCCGCAGGTGAGAGGAGACATCACAGGCTACACTGCACACTGAAGCACCTGCAGCTAGTAGTCTGTAAATAAAGCCATGAGAGGCTGGTTTTTGTTTCACACTCTGTCCCGGGCTCATGATGTTACTTCAAGCTTTGCTGGGAGATACTTCAAAAAATATTTAAAAGATTTAACCAATTCAATGTAAAAGGAGCCCCAGTTCATTTTATGAAATACACCTTGGGCATCAAAATCTAGCATTATATAATGTTGTGCTGTCTGAGTGAAATCTTTAATAATAATTTCCAAAACAAAGCAAACAATTGTCATATCGCTGAATCTCTGATTATATTTAGCAATTATTTTTCAGGTGATATCTAAAAAAAAAGTTGAATGATTCAAACTCAGCCTGTGAGTAACTGAATCTGTTAATTATTCTCAAACACAATATTTTATACTCTCACTGTAAACGTGCCTGATATTGAATCAATAAAAAAAAATAAAAAAAAGGTTAAAAAAAAACTTCATTGGAACAAGCCCACAACATTTCATGTTAAATACAATATAGGTTATTTCTCCTTGTACATTTTCAATAAATTTGTGTCTCAAGAATAAATGTTGTATACTCGGAGAACATGTCACTCGGAGAAAATGCCAACTTGCATTAATAGTTTTATTGAAAACTAAGTAAGATAGGGGAATCAGAATGCACGTTTAATGTGTTTGTGTGTGTGGTGTTGGGGAGAACGTAATAGAAGTTGTAGAAGTCGTAATGTTGAAGTCCAGCAAACACACACACAAACTGTGGAGGGGTAGGGGGAGAGGAAATAAAAAAATTAGTTCACATCTCACAATCTTTCACCATTCATGAGGCTGCATGCTTGGCTTAAACAACTGAGCCGTCCCCATCAATTAGTCTAGATGCGGGACTTTCATTGAGATTAAGTGACTAATATCGGTGCTTGCTCACAAGAAAGACACTTTTCACGTCTGCCCAACAATCTGTTAAGTTGAAACACATGTGGTGATCCAAGGCAAAAAGCCTGCAAGGGGTCCTCTATGCAATGAAAAACAGGTGCTCTACTTTTTGGACATGTAATACCCCATTTAGCCTCTGGAGCAAAGGTTATCCAGCTAATAGCTGCCTTGTGTTGCACTGGGAAGAGTTGTGCACATGGCCGGAGTAAACATCTGGGACAGATTGTACATACTTGCAACATATGCTTCAAGTTCAATTAAAATGAGGCCTTGGCATATTTATTAATCTTTTTTTTCCCCCTCTCGCCTCTCTCTGTTGCTCCCTCTCTCTACTTCTCCCTCCACTCTAGGCCTGTGCCATAAAAAAGTTTTTCTTTGACCTGTCCTTCATACATACACATACAATCTGAATCTGTGCTTCATATCCAATGTAAAATACTTCATGTCCAATGTAAAAGACAATTTTGTTAAGCCTAGAATCTCCATTTGTTCAGCACTTAACCAGGTTGGTGAGAGGGCAAAGGGAAGAGTGAGAAAGAGGGAGTATGTGTAAGAATGAAAGAAAATAAAAAGGCAGGGAAGGGGCGACTGAAGGAAGCGTAGAAGGAGAGTGGGAGGGGAGAGACATGTAGGCGAAGAAAAAAGAAAAATGCCCCCTTTTCAACCTCCCTACGGCTCAAATGAAATGCTAACAGTCGAGGGGAGCAATAGATCAAAATGTATGAAGCCAGAGTTGGTAAATTGTAGCCTTTGTGGCGGCTGTGCTATCCAGCGTCCCAGCCCTGTGTGAGCACAGAGAGCAGGCCCTCTTATGTGGAATAATCAGTTTGGCACCAAATCTGACGGAGGCCGCAGAAGCTGCTGCTGCACCTCATTTCAATATGAAAGTCCAAATGTATTTCATATAATCTGTAGCTTTTCAAATGCCTCTATTTTTATTTTATTTCCCCCCAGAGAGGAGGTAGAAAATGCACTGATGGAGGGCAGACCAAATAAGGGGTAAAAAAGAAGGTTCAAGGTTGTCTGGTGCATATCTTCAGTCAGCCCCCCCCCCCCCCCCCCCTCCCCCAACACACACACACACACCTAAGTCTCAGCCTTGGAACTTCACAGCCATGAAACTTTGCTTCTGAATCACTGTGGGAGAGGATGTAACGCTCACGTATCACGGTGTGCTCATCGCCCAACCGACTGCCCAGCTGACTGATTGCCTGACCGCCTTACTGGTGGGCTGACTATTTGACCATCTGCACCATAAATGTGTTTCTTTAACTCTTTTGTTAAAGGCCTGCACTTGCGACCCTTCAAAAATTGGAGAGGTTGTTGCAGAGCGGCACAGTGTCCAGAGGCAAATCATTTTCAGATATCAAATTGCATGGTCAAAGGCCTTTACAATTACCATAGCAAACAGCCAGAGTTTTCCTCCAAAAAGATTACCAAAACAGACGATGTGGTGCAATTTACCACATCTTAACCTCCTAACCTTTCTATTGCTGGAGTGTGGCTGTAAGGCATCGAGTATCAGCTTAAGTAAATTCAGAATCCAGATGATTCAGTGGAGGAGAGGAAGCTCACTGTTTTCAAAGTGAAAAGTTTGGACCTCACTTAAAAGCTCATGTTGTGATTCTGCTCCTGTTTACCACTGCTAGACTGCCATCAGACTTGAGCTGCAACCATAAAACTGTTTCCATCTCAACTGTGCCTCGCCAAAAAACCAGACAACACAGAGGTTGGATAAAAAAGCTGTACCATTTCAATTACCATTCCCAAGTGGAACCCTGACATGGTACTGTATGCTATCCAGTGGCATTTGTTTCAGTAGCTGCTCCTACAGTGTAAACGAGCGGAGGCAGTAAAGCAGCCACCTGTTGTTACCTGATAGTGTCTGGACAAGCCCAGATGCTGTTTTACTGGGACATAAATGAGCGGTGAATGGACCTAAATAGCTAACTAAGCACTTTATATGCGTGCATGTTCTCAGGAAGCAGGGCTGAGGCACAAACGTGTTACAAGCGTAAATTCGACAGAGTGTCGTATTAAGAGAAAAATAAGAATAGTGTACCAAACTGCAACGAAAGCCCAAAAGCAAAGCAAACCACATAGAGGAAAGGTGAGAAATGTGCCATGTGTATGCCTACAGAGAACATTTTCAAAGTTTAGAAGGCTGTACAACCACAGTCCATGTGTTTGTGCCTCGGGCACTGAGAATAACTGAACTGGGGAGGAGATGGGAGGGGAAGATGGACTCATTTTGTCCGTCTGTTTGTGTTTTGGATGTATGAAGCAGTGTCAGCCCCTCCTGAGGCAGTGTGTTTGGTGCATGTGTTTGTGTAAATGTAACCCTGACAGAAGACATAATTACCTTGTCATCTTTGTCAAAGTCCTCATCCTCATCCTCCAGAAGGTCCTCCACTGCTTGCTGACAGTTGCAACAGAGGAGAGAGGGGAAAAAAAAAAGAAACATAAATGTTTTGCATCAGCCATAGAAAAGATAAACATTAGATAACATAGGGTTAACATAATCAGAACAGCTAAAGAGGCGTAGTAAAGCGGATTGGTTATGCTAGAGTTTCTTAATGAGTATGGTAAGCATGCAGATAGCACAACTATTAAACGGGTGTGCGCTAATATGTCACAAGCCTCTGAAATGTTTAGAATTAGATTTTATTTTAAGAAACGTTCTGTTGTTCAAATGTGCCGCCACTTCCGGAAAATGTAAGCGAAAGCTTTGCCTTTGATTTTTCAAACGGCTAAGATTAAAGTCTATTCATCCACTTCGAATCGCCTTTGCAAAAAAAGCAGTTATGCCCTTCAGTGGGACGAGACAGCAGATCTCCTCTTTTTTTAGATTCTTCTGACCTCTTTAACCTTTGCAGTCCTCTCTCACCTCTACCGTCAGCGTTTCCATCGCTACATTCATCTATCTACAGTTTCACACGCGCTCACAGAAAGATGCTCCACAAGAGGAGAAAGAAGAAAAGCCTGCAGCAAAGAGAGCAAGTCACAAAGAACAGCAACTATGTGCTTCAGTGGTCCAAAACCGATGAAACCGGAGCTGATGTAGCTCTGAAGCCCCCAGATACCATGAAACATACTGTACAACACGGAGAAAAAAACGACATACACATGTGCACACAGTCAGAACCACAAAGGCAAAGGAGCATATGGATACATACAGTGTCTTACAGAACAACGATTTCTGCATTTTGGTGAAAATAAAGCCAATAAACAAATGTCTCTGCATGTGTTTAGAGAGCAGCTTGGCCTTGTGTGTTTAGAGAAACTATATCTGATTACTGTTTAGTGTGACTAAGCGTGTGTCTTTGTTAGCATGCACACATTCACTTCATGTGAAGTCTGATGCCAATGAGGCGAAACACCCACAGATCACTGCTGCATCTCTCATCCACTCTCTTTCTGTCAATCACTCATCAAAGCAAGGTCATATTGTTGCTCTTAATTTACATAAACAAAGCACCATATCATAAAACCCACAGCTGTCAGCTTCAGCATTTATCTGTTCTCATTTTAGTGTTACCGACCCGAACCCCCTAAAAACATTTAAAAAATCATTGCACGCCCTCCCCCCAACCACCTCAGAAACAACACAAAACTAGTTTGGAGAAATCCAAAAATTCATCACTTAACAAGACAATAGCTTTTGTCCTTTTTGTTTTTCATTGGAATAAGGAGGGAAACTATGTGGCGGCTGACATAAGCCTCTTATGTAAATGCAGCTTCCCACACAAACAAAGAGGAGTTCAGAACAGCAGAGTTGAGAGGGTAGAGTCAATAGTGTGTAGATGTGTTTGTGTGTGTCTGTGCCATCAATAGCTCAGAGTCACTAGGGCAAAGTGTCGTGCATGGCAATCTTCGTTTTAAATAACTAACTGTACAGCAACTGGTTATTCCCACTTCACTCAGACTCCATCAGTGTCTAGACAAATAAGCTTGACTAAGTATTCACAGTTCACGTTCTCATTATTGATAGAGAATGCACTCACAGCTACAGTATACAGATACAAGAGAGGGAATTCTTGCACTCAGCCGAGGCAAAAGATGTTGATGTGATACTGTAAAATGAAAGCCTGCTGGCATCTCTAAACAAATGAACTATAACTGTTTATAAAGTCATCATGGTTCCTCCCAAATCCTTTCACCCGTGCCAAAATACAAACATAATGGATTCCTCCACACAGAGGCTTTGCGAGGGCACGCCTGGCACACGCTCCAAACTTTAAACAAAGGGAATGAGCATGAGCTAGCTGGAGAAGCATGACCTAGAGAGACAGAGAGAATGATAGAGTCGTTTGTCTCCCTCTGCTCTCTCCTCTATCGCCTCTGGTTACAGGGAGAAGTCATGTTTCCTGCAATGAGACACAGTGTAAAATTAATAAATAAAAAGACACGGAACATGTCATCTGCCCTGAAGATTGCCATGGCTAAATGTGTGCATTGAAGCTACTGTCTCTGTGAGGGAGGATATAAATTACTTCAGTGCGGCCGATGAATTCCAAACATCTTTCTCTCTCTCTCTCTCTCTCTCTCTCTCTCCCCCTACCTTTCTCACTCTCTTTATTCTCTTTCTAAGACCTGTTTGGTGTATGATATCATTTGTCTGTTTATCCCTCCATTATCATGTTGTTTGAATTACTATCATTACAGCACGGCAGCATCAAAGCCTTGCTGTCGACGGGATCGTGTCGGGCTCACGTTGCCTGCAGAGCTGCTCCAGTCAATTCAATACCTACTAAGGTGGGGATTAACATATTCACACCTATTCAAATGATACGGGGCTGATGCGGGGCTACTCTTACAGATTACACTGTGCCCCACAAATACATACAAAGATGGTGATAATACAAAATAAACACAGAGAATAGATGTGAGGGGAATGACATTGAGAGTTCAGTGGCTGTGAAAGTGTGAATACAAACCTAGAAAAAATAATTTAAAGGAATTAAGTTCAGATGCATTGACTTAGAGCTCAGAGCAGGCCAGCAGGGCTCTGATACACATTCATTTATTTTCTAAATATAACTGTCATTTTATATCAGTTGCTTTTTCTGTAAAGGACAGGTATGTAATTATGAATCTGTTTTACTCTGTATGTTGAGGCTTCAATGACTGAAATATTTTATTATTTTGTGAGCTACTTTGACACTCTTATATACGCATCGCCTTGTCTACATCGACTTACATTTCTCGTTACAGATTGGGATCTTTCTCTGACAATAACTGTTGTTGTGTGGTTGGTGGATTTCTGCCCACATTTAACAGTCCTACAACACCCATAATGCCTTTTCAAGGACAGAACACAATGGGGAATAAGGGAAAATATCCCGGCTATGTAGTGGATATGCTCATAAAGGTGATCAGAGACAATAAAGACAGAGTTTGAAACTGTCCAGTTTCTCCACTTTGAGTTTATGTCCAGTTGTATATTCCTTACACCCCTGACTCAGACAACGTTAACTAGCGCATGCTAAAACAATTTTAAAACGGCAGTTGCTGTCAATAATAACCCAGGATTTGGAAATATGTGAAAACATAATCCATAGCTGTGTAGTCTATCTACACTTAATGGAGACACAAAGAAGAGTTTGAACTAGACTTGGCAAGTAAAGAAAAAAAAGATACTATGAGTGGATGGAGGCTACTTTCATGGAAGAAAAACAGAACAAACCCGGTCTGGATCAATGAAACAAGTGCACACACACAAACACACAAAACTACAAATCCACTATATGGAGTACTAGCCGCATCATTTTCAGCCTCCATTGAAATGCCTCTATACTGGCCCCTCTCTTTCCCTGGCCAAGCTGAGTTCCACTATCTCCCCTCCTAACCTTCCCAATGACAGCCGCAGGGGGAATTGACGGTGAAGCAGACATCCCGGCGAACATGAAGATATACTTTCTCTTCTCTTTTTTCTCCCATTCCTCTCTCCCTCCCTCCATCCTCCTGCTGCGCTTCCTCTTTGATACGTGAGGGGGTTTTAACCTCTCCAGCTGCTGAGGTTTGGCCGACTGGCTGGCTGGGGGATCTCAAGGCCCTACTTGGTATGCACCATCCATGAGTTTATGTGTGTGTGTTTGTGTGCATGTGCATATTGCCTACACCACAGTTTCCACAGACTGGGGGAGGGCTGTGTGTCTGATAAGGGCTGCTGGCTGAGCCTGGCTGACCGACGCAGGCCCTTCACAAGCTGTCAGAGCCATGGCCCTCAGAGGGGGGCCCTTCCATCTTCACTAACCCAGCCAGGGCTCACCCAGCAGGGGGCTAGAGAGGGGTGAGGCTGGGGTGCGACCAGCGCTGGAGGCGGGGGATGGGGGTGATAAGGGCGGCTCCATATTCATGAAAGAAACACCAAATCTGTGAGCGCATGAAAAGATTGAGTTGTAGGATAGTAATGAGAGCATCTCTCTCACAAGCATACATTTCTTATTGTTTATTTGCTGACAAATCAGCAAGCCTGTTTAATCAGAGATGTTTCAGACGAAATCACAAATTTACATGCTCCACTGGCATTGTTGAAATAGTCGGTAAATACAGTAAATTCAGGGACAAGATGTTTGTCTTTCTCTGATGAATGGCACCATCTTGACTTTGTGTATATTGCACTCTGTTGTGGAAAAGAGAGCTAGAGCTGGTACACACATGATGTGCAATCTATTGGTACACTCTTACATCTGTTGGCTTTAGTTTAGGGTTTATACCGCAAATCTGAAAACAACTACAGCAGGTATACTTAGAGACAAAACAACAAGAAGCACTGAGGCAGGCATCCCGCACTGCTGACGTTGTTAGCAAAGAGCACAGAAGGTTCAGCGTGATGAAGAAAGTTAGACAAATGGAGGAAAAGACAACATGATGAAAAGGGCTGCAGGGAGGATTCCGCAGTGCCATTCCTGATGTTCCCGATGCTCCTGTCCCGCTTCAAACTCTGCCCGTCGCCTGTCTTTCTGCCTGCCAGCCTGCCATCCTATCTGCCAGTTTAGCAGAGACAGAGAGGCAGGGTGAGGAGCAGAGAGGAGCGTGGTGATGCCGGGGCGGCACGAGGGAAATCAGTGGGGCACAGGCGCTCACAGTTAAAAGTGACATGACCTTTTGATTTTGTCACCTGTCACCAACTGCCATGTCTGACTTCGCACTGAGGAGTGCCTGCCATCCGCCGCTGTTTTCTTCTGCCTCCGTCTCTCTGAATGCCTCTCTGTCTTTTTCTGTCTCCTGCTCCCACTCCATCTCCGTCTCTCTTTCTCCTTTTCTCTCAAGAGTTGCGGTTTTAAGGGGAAAAAGTGGAGGTGTGACTTTCTGCAGGAGTTGAGGTATAATAGGCAGCGTTTCCTCTTTTCCTTCCTGCTCTCCTAATATTTACTAGTCTCTACCTGTGTTGTGCGTGGCTCTTAATGAGGGCAGATGTCAAGGCAGTGTGTTTAGAGGCGCAGAGAAGCAGTTCTGAGATGCAAAATCAGGGGGGAAAAAATAGAATAGATAAAAATGACAAAGAAGTCTCGTTCCACAAATGATCCAATGTTTCAACAGTATCAGAGATTATTACTGTCTTGGAAAGAAACCAGATTATTTTTACACTAATGAACAATCTGCTGCTGTCACGGTGAGTGCCTCACAGTCAGAAAAGTAAAGATTAAACTACTAAAAGTAGAAAAACATGGCTTTAAAAAAAAACATAACAATGTAAGAATATAAGTAGAAAACAAATGTCAATTATTTGTATTAAAGCTTGACTACGCACGCAGGGTGATTAAACTCTATATATGTGCATTTATTTAACACCGGATGTAGCTTGATCCATTATAGTCAGTTCTACTTCGCCATCGGAGGCATGTCTTTAAGTGAGGAGTATCTCTAAACCATTAAGGTCTTCTCTGCTGTAATGGCATGGCGGATCCAGTCGGTGAATCTATGTAATGGTCTGAAGCATGGGATAAAGAGGATGGTTCTCCAGTGTCATGAGGCCTAATTGCCTGTCATCCTGTGGTAAAAAGAGACATCACCATGCTCCATACGTGACCTCTACGTCAGCCCGAACTAAAATGAACACCTTTGTAACATCTGGTCGGAGTCTTTCTGGGCCAACAGAACGGCTCTGTCTCTCCTCCTTTAATCTCAACGCCCATCATATATGCTTTTGTAGGCAGGCACGCAGGTGAATACAACAGATGAACACACCTTGTTCTCAGCTAGCAGAGCTGCTTGTCCTCTGGTGGACCCAGCTTACCAGCAGCATCCACTGCAAAAAGCTCAGGATGGATCTATGCCCCCAAACTGTTCCAGGTTTCAAAACATGACGGAGCTGGAGAGGAAAGGGTCATTTCATTTACGTGCTCCATCACCTTGTTACAATAAGAGCAGAGCAGAAATACAGGTTCCTTCCGAGAATATTTTCAGCCTTGAAAGTCAAGTAAAAGAAGTTCTGCCCTCTGCATGTATTCAGAGGAGTAAAAGGTCCTCTTCTTTGTTTGTTTGTTTTCGGTGAGCATGTTACAGCATGACACACAGGTCAGCTAACAGTGTTGAAGAGTCAGGGTTCGCAGGTCAGACTGATACATGATAAGAGAGGAGGTCTTTGACCTCGCTGGTGCTTTGCTTCCTTTAATCGCTGTTCAGAGGACGCTCCGACTGCTTAGCAGCTACTGGTCAAGGTTGGGGCGAGGGTAAGGAGCCCTGATCCGGGATCTGTTTGCAAAGCACCATGTAACCACACAACACTCAGTGACCCTGAGTGGTGAATTACAGCGTGTAGAGAACACTGTGTTTGTTTATTTGCCATTGACAGGGCTGTGGACTGAGGTTGCGGTGTAGAATCAGAGGAGGGTCCTCACATTGAACCCATCAGCATGAAGCACGACGCTTCATTTTATTAGAAAGTCTGTTCTCAAGTGTACACTTCTTTTTTGTTTTCTCTCTCTTCCCCCTTTTCCCCCTCACCCTTCACACTGAGTTCAGCAGAGATTCCTTTGGCATTACCCTCACCCCAGACTGCTGGAAAACCACAGCGCTCCGGATGCTGACCCCTGCTCCACTCAGCACAATGCTTTAATTTGGTGTGTTGTTTAAAGTAATTAGAAAGCCTTTTTCCCCTTGTTTTCTTTTCTATTCTTTTCTGTTCTCTGCCAAGTGCAAGAGGGAAACGTTGAGCCATCCATGACTTCAGCCTGATAAAGATTCGGAAGAGAAATCCAGGGGACCAAGAGGAGGAAGCACAGCGCGGAGATACAGTATGCTCTCACTGCACCGCCACAGATTGGGAAAACTGTCTGAAAACAAACAGGGACAGGACTCAGGGGAAACTTGTGTCAGAAAATGAGCGTTGCAGTGTACACATTTACAAACACAAGAGCCTAAAAGTAGTGAATGCTCACACCAATGCACATTACTTTCACTGTATTTAAAACAGTTTTACTTAAGAGTAATATAATGATTGAAAGAGGCTAACAGTTAGTAATAGAGTAAAGAGAAAGGCTTCATAACAGTCACCATTCCTAAGACAGTTAAATTGCAATGCAGAGAAAAGAAAGACAGTGACTGTCGCAGAATCATCTTTGTGTGGAACAAAAAGAACAAAGCAGACTACATCAGACAGCACAAGTATCATTACGCAGATAATATAGAGGATTCATGAATGATGCACACAGATGCACATTCCCTTAAACATCATATACTGCTCTTTCTCTTTTCCTTACATGGCGTATTTGCCTCAGACTGTCGCATCACAAGCATGAACCCACTTCTCTTTATACTGCTCCTATAGCGAAGCAAGAACACTCCCATCCACACGTATCACAATTTCCCAACTGTTAGAAATACTCAACACACTCACTTAAAGGTATTGCTGATTGTGTTCATATTACAGAATAGAGAGGTCTCATTCAAAGAAGGTCATGAATAAGTCTTAAACAAGCGTCAGAACATTTTTTGGCCTTGCTGATCTATTGAGCCCAGCGCCCCAAGACGACAAGTCCTTTAAATACATCCAAACTCAGCCACACTCTGGAGGTTGTGATCTTGAAGCAACCTTCAGCTTGGACTGTATGTCGGCAGAAGGATCCAAAAGGCAAGCTAAAACACAAGCTACAAGAAACTTGGTAAAAATGAAAATATTTTCTGTTGTTTAAGGCAAATATTTTCAATAATGATGATTTTATAATGAAAAAAAAAAAGTAGTCTAGACCGCTGCATGACTGTGAAGTACATATCAAAAGACCCAATCTCACCACATTAATAGGTGTCCATATCTCCTCTTATCAGCGAGCACGGGCAAACTTTGCAGTATTGTTTTAGTGAAAGGCACTAGCAACACGAGTGCTGACAGTATCAACATTTTGTAATGTTCAAATCAATTCCTGAGGTACTTGACGCACAATAGTCTCTTTCAGCGAAGAGAGAAAAGCAATTCTGCATGAAGTAGGAGTTACATGTACTTAGTCATATGTGAAGTGAGTGGCACATTATGAGAATATGTTGCTTCATTTTAATTAGGAAGTGCATGGGAAAAGAATATCATTAGGACTTGATACTGAGGGGAAGGGGGGGGGGGTGCAGCATGCCGGGTTTTGTCTTAAGGCATCTATGAGTTTTTTTTGTCAAGCAATGTCGCCATCTACAGGTGGAGGAATATTCCCTCTACATGAAGTCTGAGTCATTTAGAAGCTGAGGACTTGAACGTTTATGAAATGACCAAACCTTAGTTCTTGACTTGAATAACTGTATTCAATGTAAATGTGCTAAATATCATTATATACCAAACTCTGTCATTGTCAAGTAACCTTTTGGTCTCCAAAGAGGTTTCTTTTCCAAATCTGATTATTGATCTTTTTAAATAATATAGAGGCTTACACATTATTGAAGACTATCTCTGAAGACTTACAAAATAAACGTGTGCTGTGGGTGATAGAAAGTTCAAATGTGTAATATTTCAATTACACACAGCAATGTGATTAAGTTCATTATTCATCACTATAAAGATCTCTTCCAGATCCATTCTAATCCAACCCAAAGAAGCCTTATGAAGGGATAGATAGACAGGATATATACGCATATAGGAGGAAGAACACTGCAGAGAAATCTGGGTCTGTTAACTGGTTATTTCCAACAGAGTCTTGGAAACAGGCACTTATTAAAATTAATCACATCATTGTTCACGCTCACTCCAGAGTCCAGCTTTCTCTCTTGGTTTCATTCTCTACTCGGCGAATGTGCCCGGCCATGATTAAAACATGTCTGTTTCTCCATGACATTGCTTTGACATCATTTAATTGGTATAAGAGATAAAAATAAATGAATTAAATAAATATACCAGGTAAGTGGCGTAACATAGCTCAAGGTGACAGCCTATTATTCCTTCCTTTTCTTTGCCTCAAAGAAGCTAAAGTGAGAAATGTGAGATTTGCACTGAGAATGTGGCTCCTTAAGGGGCAGATGGAGGTTGCTTTTTTTTTTAAAGAAAATCAGAGAAGACATTTTTTAAATTCAATTCCATTTTTTTTGCAAAAGTTTATAACTGCAATTTAACCAGCAGTTATATCTTTAATAAGTTTTTATTTTGTACTGTTTTTTTTAATAGAAAGTTCTCACTCATTGGTGAATCTATTGTGATCATAATCACCTCTTTTAACAGCACAAACATGTGAAGACTCGTATCAAAGGAATATAATGCATGTTAATGTGATTAATGCTGTGAACAAAGCAAGAGCCGAATGCAAACAAGGCTTCTACAGTGGAATGAAAGAGGTGACTACGAGGTTAGCACTCACCACGTCTTGTCTGGTATCCTTCCCTGATGCAATGAGGAAGTAGTTCCAGGCCAAAGGCAGCAGCAGAGCCAAAGGAATCATGTAGAGTTCAAAGTTCCACACCACAATGACAAAAAGCTGCAAAGAGAGAAAAAGACACAAAACCCTCAGCAAAAAGAGAAGTGAGAACAAAAAAAAAAGTGTGAACAGTGTGTTAAGAATGTATACGTTCAAGACCTCAAATTGACCCCGATGAGGCAAACTCCTGAGAACGTACGCAGACCATATGTGCAATTTCAAGCAACACACATTGCAAGTCATTGATATGCAGAAACATAACTACCATGGAACAAAGCGTTCAAAATAAACCGGGCTTCAACAAAAGGTACAGGCTCGGTGTCTGTGAGCCTCAGTTCAACACCCTGACCCTCGAGGCTCCCTGGGCCTTCAGCTGAGGAGGACCACGATGAAGAGGATGAGTACGAGCCGTCACAGCCTCTTTCCCTCCTTGCCAATCATCCCAGAGAGCGGGGTCATGTACTGTTTTCAGCCACAGCACGTCAAAGCTGACCCCTCCGTACTCGAAACCAAACCCAGGCATCTGACCTCGCACACCCCACACCCTGAGTCCCTAACCCTGTCACTCCAAGCCCCAATACCCTCTCTCCCAGCCCAAAAGACTCATATGCCCCATCCCTAACCTTCTCTGCACCCATCTGCCAAATCCATAACCTCTTTACCTCCCCTCTCATCAGCAGACAAGAAAAGTACCATCTGAAAATTAACCTTTCCTTAAACCTTGGATTCTGGTTTTGGCAGGGCTCTTTAGCCTCTGACAACAGACCACTGTGGTGATTGAGAGAAAATATATGTGGGAAAGTGAAAATGATTGACTTTTCCTTAGCGGTATTGTGTCAGTAGTAAGCACGTATTGTGTCCACTATTTGAAAAAGTTTAGCTGGAATACATTTTGTAGGAATAACATCAGAAACAAGTAGATCAAATATGATATTCAATCTGCCTAAATAACTGATTTATACATATATATAAGTATATAAAGTTTTTATTTTTTTATTTTTACAATTGACAATTTTGAAAATGCAAACTATGTCAAATACTTCATCTTTTTCTAGCTACACATATTTATCAAATCCAAGAACAGAAAAATCCACTATTTACAAAATGAGCACAGAAGATGTGAAATTAATTAACAATCAGATTTGATGGGGAATGTTGAAATTGAGACTATTACTGAATAAAGCAGATTTAATATCTGTGCACCAATTACATGCTTTCCTGTTTGGCTGAACAACAGAGAGAACACTTGATCATCAACAATTACATTGTTTTATTTCAGTGTTCAACAGGAGGGACAGACAGGGAGAGAGGAGAATGAAAATCAAGCTCTTCATTGTGTTTACAGTCCGAGGGTTAATGTGAATATGAGGTTCAACAGCCCCTCAACACGGTGTGATGCAGGTCTGCTGTTACTGCAGAGGAGCCGCTCAGCCACACACACACACACACACACACACACACACACACACACACACACACACACACACACACACACACAGTCACACACACACTCGCACACTCAAACCGTGCTGGAGGTATAACATTTTTCCTTACACGTGCACATAAAAGCAAATCCATCCGACTATTAACGCAAACAACTCTTCATAATAAGAACAAAATTAAACACAACTTTTCTCTTCCTCACACAGAAAAGTTAGAAAAGAACATTTTCCAAACTTTGGAGTGGAACTATAACTTCATGCAAAATAAACTTACAGACACTGAGTGAACAAAGGAAAAAAAAAAGAAAAAAGAGACATAAATTAAACATTAGAAATGTCCAGTGCATTTGCATAGTGCTCCCAGAAAAACGTCTTTTTCAAATAAACCTGAGTGGCCTTGGTGCAACAAACAAATCTCCCAAAAGGATCCAAACCTCTCTCAGGCTCAACTTCACTTTCTCACGTACAAAGACTCTTTTCTCTGATACAGCTGTGTGGGAGAATTGGAAAAAAAAACTGTTCAATAATTCATATTTGTATACTAATAAGCAACACAACTATTTCCCTTCATACATCATAAAAAAGCTTTTCAGAATGGCATAAGCTCGGCAAAAGAAATTCACAGACAAACAAACACAACAATGCATCTTCACAAGCAGTTTCTCTACAATATTCTAAAGTTATACATCATCCTTTTTAAATGATCATAGTTCAAAGATAGCTCAAAATTATCTCTAACATTAATAAAGAGTGAAATAATCTGCAAACTAGGAAAAGAAACACACGACTACAATCAAACAAAGGAGCCCTCTCTTGTTTAAAACCTACTCTGGTAGAAGATATAAATAACAGCACACTTACAAACATCTTCATCAGACACACAGGGTGCTTCTTTGAAATACTCTACAATAAATATCATTTACTGCAGGCATAGATTGTACTGTAAATATATTAAGTGTGTGGCTCTCTTAACGCTCACAGTATCGTCGTCACACAGACAAATGACTTGTTCCTCACTATCCTAATGTTTATAAGAAACCTTAAATCCTCCTTCCATGTTTTTTTCTTGTTAAATTTATCTTTCATCTCCATTCGCCTGAGGTTGTTTAACCTGTCATCCCTCTTCATTCCTCCTCCGTTTGGTTATAGTAGCTGAGGGGGAAGTTTTGACAGGCAGCTGGAGGAACCGGACACCCAGGCTCAGCAGTGGCTGGCTCTGCCCCGTCTCTGTGCCCCCCGGCTGGGTAATAGGGGCCCTGAAGTGCACGGACCTTTCCACCAAGACTGGGCGATCACAGCCAACCCCCGCTGCTTCCTACACCAGATAGCAGGCTCCTCGCCTGGGGAAGAGGGAGTAGGAAGGAGCCATGCTGTGGATGTCAGTGACCAGAGAAAGGCGGGCAGGCAAAAAAAACAACAACGATGAAAACATGCAGGTTCAAAAGGGGGAAAAAAGAAGGGGGGAAATGATAAATGAAGCTCCAGATGTAGTCTGTGGGTATAATTTGAAGATGACTCAGTATGGTGAGAGGCACGGGGACGGTTTTCTGTGATTATCTGAACATGGACAGACAGAGGGAAGCTCATGATGCTCCACTTATGCTTTATGTGTAATCCTGCTGAATTCTTACCTGTGCAGTGATGTAAAATAATTCTCAGACACAGTCAGTGTGTGTGTCTCTTTTTCTAATTGCACTTCAATAATATTCCAACATTGCAAATGAGTCTTTCGAGAACGTAAAACAAATGAAACCTCCATTTGTGACCATAACAAAAATGTGAGATAAACATTTTGTGTCCTTCTCCTACAATCACTGTATTTAAAGCTGTTCATTTTCTTAATACTTAATTAAATACACAGAAGTTTAGATTTTTTTTTTCTCTAAAGTTGAAGTTTAATTAGTTTTTAACTTCTGGCAGAGACTAACATTTAACCATACAATGTATTTAATCAAAACTGGTTTGTGCTTCAACAAATCCAAAGGACTCTAAACTTTGGAGAACAAAACTCTTCACGTGTCAAAAACCAAAAAAAGATTTCCACTGTCAAATCTGCTTAACCAATTCAGATGAAGTTAAAGGCAACATTTGAACTGGGCAAACTTCAACATCTACGAGAGTGTTGGATTTAAATGAGATGTGTAATTAAAATGGACAATCAGAAGCAGGCAACAAAGTAAAACCATGGCAGCATTATTTGTAATATTTTGGCTAAAATACCAATAAACAAAATCAGTAGACTCTATGATTTTGACAGGTCTCTGTAGTTTGAATTAATTAAAGTTTTAATTTTTGATGCTTTCTCTTAATATTAAGAAACCCCCTGCACACAAGAAGATATCACTTACGTTAACAAAACAGTCAAGTCAAAATGATTTATTCAAGCACTCAGTGCGGCATGTTGACAGTGGTATCTTGCATTATTTGTTTCAAAACACACCCGGCGTCCTTGCAGCTCTGAGCCGTGGCACTGTGGGAGGGTAATATTCAGTACTTTGGCTTACATTAACCACACACCAGGCTAACTTTCCCTCTGCTCTGTCTCAGTGGAGTGAAACTGAAGTTTGGATTTCAGAGTTCCCCTTTATCTCTCTTACATCAATTTCAATCCTGGCACTAAGTGTTGCCAGATAACAACTAAAAAGTCCTGTTAAGTTCGAGGGAACGAGAGAGGGAGGGAGGCTGTGTCCTGTTTGTGACCGGACCTGAGCATCATTCTGTGGTACTAGACTGCCCCCTGCTGTTCTCCTGCAGAACATAGATCTTCAGCACAATTAATGCTGCTCATCGGATACAAAAGCAGCCTGAATGACTAAACCCAAAGTGTCAAATTTTTAAATCACAGAAACTTTCAAATAAAGCATCCACCATTTTATGGCCACAGTACAACAGTTGAACATCTGTACCAACTTGATGTAATGATACTGTGTACCCGACTACTCAACAAAAGGTTTTTCTTTCTCTGTCAAGTCTATCTCTGGTGATTAAACTCTGACTTGGTATTCTCAGTTAGTCATGCCGCTATATTTCAACTATCATTCATTTTGCAAATCAGGAGAGCAGTAAAATGTGAAAGTATATCTTTCAAAGCTGTCCCTTGCTGTGGGCAAAGACGAACTCCCGACTTTAAAACTTTTAAAAGTTAGACAGGTTCTTTGAAGAGGAGTCAAAGGAGCAATTTAAAGAGACCTGGAGTGGTGTGTACCACTGACTGCTACGGTGTCTCTGCACTGTGTGTGTGTGTCTGTGTGTGCATGTCGATCAAACTGCAAGCCAGACATGTGCAAACACACACACACACACACACACACACACACACACACACACACACACACACTCGAATAGTTGCTTCTGTACCTGTCTTTGCTTTTTTCCCTTTTTTATTTCAGCAGGGTGAATTTTTATCTAAATGCAAAGCAGGTGATAGGTGCTCCAGTTTCCTCTAGAAGTAGCTCCCTTGTCTGGGCTCTCTTCCTGATAAGAGTCCTACTTTGCCTGACATAAAAGAGCCCGGTATCATTTCCCCAGCCTCCCCAACAACCCCCAGCTCCCTGCCCTCGCCCTTCCCCGAGCTTCACAAAGCTGCCTCTATTTGCTCCCAATTCAGGGCCCAATTGCAGATAAAGTTACAGCAAATTTGTTTGGAGGAAGAGCTGCTGAGGCCTGTGGTCCCTGGGGCAATAACAGCCTTGTCTTGCTGGGCCGTGGGGAGAGCTGGCAGCAGCAGGAGAACAGAACCCAACACCGCTCGGCCCCACAATGGCCTCAACTCTCCAGGAGGGAAAAGCAAAGGGAGCGGAGGAGAGGGAGAGATAAAAAGGAACAGGGATGGATGCACAGATAGAAGGGAGAGACGCTCAGCTTGCAGGTGTGGAGAGAGGAAGCAGACGCTTAACCCCGAGACAGGCAGACGTAGACACAGAGACCCTCTCACACACACACACACACACACACACACACACACGTACACACAGACACCACCCATCATGCAGGACAGGAGGTAACTCCAGTCCCGTCCATTGTGCCAACGCCTCAGGCAAAGCTGCCACGGTGGCTGATTCACTGTCGGGATGGGTTGGTGACAGCAGTGTGGGTGTGAGAGGGAGAGAGAAAGGCTGCATGTGAGACTATGTGATATCACTCTTTCTCTCACATGCACACAAAACACACACAACGTACACACTAATCACAGCTGGCCCCTAATGAGCGATGTGTACTCGAGCTGGCATTGCAAAATCGTACAGAAGGAGGGTAAGGGACTATGAAGACATTTTTGAGGGTTTTTATCGAGGAAATGTTGTGAAGTGACACTGTATGACAACTGCATTTTGATGCTGCAATCGCATCTCCAGAAACGAAAAAAGTGAGAGCACACTTAAAGTCCCTCCTCAGGCTTCCTTAACAGTTAATAAGTACACACATCTGTAAGTTTAGAGGTTGGATTGCCCACAACTCCACCTCTGTAGCAACAGCCGTGTTAGAAAGTTAAGTGTAACATCTGTCTAGAACGACTGCCAGACAGAAACACACGTGCACATATGAACAGACACACATGCCCGTAATCACACACAGCCGTACACCTTCATGAACGCACCACCTTGGCCAGATGGCCCCCCATAAAAACCCACTTAAAGAGATGAGCGAAGTGATTAAGAGGCCTCTCAAAGTGAGGGAGAAATGAGAGAGGGATGAAGAAATGGAAGGGGAGGGAGTACCTGTGTAGAGCAGAGGCCCTAAATACTCTGATGCTTTTAGCTAAGTGCATACTCCTACGATAACAGACTCCCAAAAGAGCGGGGGGGGGGGCACAATGACACCTAAATTTCAGACTTTCTATAAACTAGACAACGCTACGCCCTTGGCCTAGATACATCCTTTACCGTCATCTGAATTTTTGGAATTTAAGTGAGTACAATGAGAATATGAATAGTCGGCACAGAAGTGGATGTGGATGTACTATATGCTGTGTTTTCAGAATGGATGAAGAGCTATGCAAGGCAAAAACGTGTGTGTGTGTGTGTGTGTGTGTGTGTGTGTGTGTGTGTGTGAGAGAGAGAGAGAGAGACGTGAAGGCTATATCTTTCCCTCCCTATTAACCATGTAGACTGCCAATTCTGAAGTGACCTTGTTTTCTGAGAATTCTTCAAGTTTTTTTTTTTTGGTCCGACATTTTCATTAATTTTCAAAAAGATAAGGGGACAAAGGCTCGCATCCAGTTCAGCCTTAAATAAGAGAAAATCCAAACTGTCACACAAGCACCAGGCGAGCACTCGGGGATGCTTGCAGACACATAGAGGGAAAATGTTAACTGATCAATACTATGTCTCTTCTCAACCGTGTCTTGTGATGACACTGTGACCTGCTGTTCAAACACACACACATACAGCATCTGCAGAGATGAAACTGGTGTCAGACAGCCAAATGTTGCTAATGTCTAATGTCTGCTGCTGTGCCCCCTCTGTAAAGGGCTGGGGCAGGGCGGGTCCACCTGTCCTGTAGCTACTTAAGTCAGGACACTAAACCAGACAGGATTAAATGCCTGCTCTGTCATCTTCAGGGTAGGAACCTCTGTGCAGCCACTCACCACCCTGCAGGAGAATGTCTCTTACTGATAGCTCTGCTGTCCAATTACACTTCACCTTTTAATACCACACACAGATGACAGGATGGAGAGAGACAGGGCACAGAGAGAGAGAGAGAGAGAGAGAGAGAGAGAGAGGATGAAGAGGTGGCGGATGGGAGAAGAGAGAAAGATGCTTCCAATTGCATTGTCTGCAAAAGACAGCTTGCACTTCGATAGATTGTAGCTGTGTCCTTAAGCATTCTGTAGGCCTTGTTTAAGATGCATCAACAACTTTCCAATCAATCTCAGCAGCTGGGCGTATATATGGACACTTGTCATTCACACAACACGCAGGTTTTTAGTTTTAATATGAAGCTAGAAAAAAGGCTTTAAGTGAAAACATCATTTCAAGATATTTGAGTGTGTGGTTAAGAGCCTGTAGTGGGAGTTAGACTGTGGTAATGCACTTGAGACATCAACAATCTCTTGTGTTAGAGTGTGCAATTACCAGTGAATGATCCATACTTTTATAGCAGAAATTGTTACAGGCCCCGTGCACATGATGCTCTCCTAATAATGCATGTGTGCTGATATTAACTGATGTTGTTTCTGGTAAAATTGATTATTTTTGGTCACTAAATTAATAGCATTGACCATAAAGGGCACCATTTTTAAAGGGCAAGGTAACTTTTTTTTAAAAGAGGGCCCAACTACATTCTGGAGATTCTTACTTCCCCTTCATTAGAAAGCAGATACTGCAAAGATTAATGAAACTGAATCATCATCTTTCTGGCAATAGAGTAATTAGGACATAAAAGAGCACCTGTTCCGATTCTCTTATGTTTGTGTGTGATAAGAAATAATAAGGGCACCTCCACGTACCACAAAAGCACAGATGCTCCTCTGTGGAGATTCCCATTCAAAGCAGCTGTTGATGTAGCAGCCTGCGTTGATCAGGAACATGATGCAGCGCCTAACTCTGTTAAAGTTGCGCAACAGCAGCTAAAGGAGACAAAACAATGAAGTTCATATTAAGAATAATGAAACACAATCAGAAACGTGGTGTAGGAAAACAATATGATGGTGTAAATAAAAGTTAAAATACTACTCTGTGAATATGGGGATAACTGAGAAGTCTTTGTTGATATAGTTACAATATAAGCCCATTATTTTATAGCATGTCAACATTAGCTAGTTCTACATGGATAATGTTTGAAAAGTACAATTCAAGACACATTTTCAACAGGAGAAAATATCTCTTAAACAACATCAGCACAGGTACGGCAGTCCACCTCTGTTCAAGAAGTTAGTGAGACTTTTTTTTTAGAGATAAATTGTGTCTCCTTTGTGTTTAGTTGAGGTCTGAATCAATCACAATAGAGTAAACACATATGTTACATGTTATAATAAGCACCACATATGATGACATTCTGTCAGTAAGTTTGAATGAGATAGGTTCAAACCATACAGCGTCTCATTCTGCTGTCACTTAGGAAAGTTCACTTGAGCAATAAGTTTTACAACTTTGGGATTTGCAGCCCTGACCTCACTTTGGCTTCTTTATTACAGCATTACATCACCGAGGACACCATGTTTTCCATCTTTAGATAGCTATATATGGATATGGTTCAGTGTATAGGACAAACGGTCACTTTAAAGCCTGACAAGCTGACTCAAAGTGTTTCTTTAAGTCTACTTTCCCAGTGATAAAGTTTAGTACAATAATAACAGTTTCCAGCACAGTCCCTGGATTCTCCTCCCTGAGGGTTCTCCGTGCATTCGGCCAGATAGGAGAGAGGGAGCTGGCAAACTGCTGTCCTCCCCCAGGGCTGCCAACCATTCAGGGAATAGCATAACAGCAGTGCAGAACGCAAACCACCCAATCAGGTCACCACTTGGAGAAAGTGCTCCCAAAGGACACACTGTCTCTGCAGATCGCTGTTCAGAAAAATTCTAGGCCATTATTTTACTCTTCGGAAAATAGTGTGTGTGTGTTCGATGTTTGAAAACTGGGGGTATTCAGTGTGTGTCTGAGGCACTACAGTAACATCCATTGTCTGTACTGTAAGCATGTGTGTTTCCGGATTGATTTGCATGTGGTTAGGGGTAGCTTGGCTGCTTTGATGCTATATGAGAGGAGGATTCCTCTTTCTCTATGTATAATTATGAGAGGCTTTTTGTTGCCAAACTGAGGATGACTGTATGGTGTCCTGCTGGGGACACACAGACCCTGAGGACAGCGAGACTGTGAATCATCCATTTCCACGTTCCTCAGCGCATGTACTTGATGTACATGCTGTACTCTTCTTGGCTCATTATTGGCATAACTGACTGGATAAGAATATCCCTTTTCCGTGAATTATTTCAAAGACTGCCTTTAGTTATTCTTTAAAACCACTTAGAAAAATGGCAAAGTTATTTATTTCACTGAAATGTCACAGTTACAATTAAATGGTTTTGTTTGGCAGGCAGCTTATGTGTGTGTGTGTTTTTTCTTCCTCTTTTCAGTGTGTGTGTTTCTGCGCACTAAGAAGCAAGCAACAGCAGGGGAGCTGCTCCCACACAAAAGAGCCCTCACGGGGCAAACCCTCCAAAGCAGCCGGTGACATCATCATTGCGAGACGCTGACATGGGTCATCTCTGTGAGTCAGAGGTGAAATGGAGATGAAAAAAAAGGATTCTTCACTTGGGAGAGAGGTGTAGACTTGGTAGCAACAGTGAGGAAGGAAGGGAATAGGGCTGACAAAAGAATGGAACGGGATCTGGTGTGAGTGTTGAGCTGTGCTCGGCTGTGCATGGAGCAGCATTGACTGCTGAGCCCAAACGGTCACTCATATGACACGTCTGATGCAGGCCAGCCCCTACTATTCAGCCCTTTGTGGTGCCGCCACACTGAGCGGCGTGACAATGAAGTGCAAAGCAGCAGTGGCATAGAGGGCCAACTATAAGGATGGCCAATCTACTTATGCACCCCAGAGCTGACAGCTTGACATTTCTATTCACCACTCAGAGTGGATGTAAGGGCGGGAGAGATGAGAGGGAGAGAGAGGAAAAAAAGAAAGAACAAAATGCTGCTTTTCTTTCAATCATCCTGTTGTATCTTGGGCGAACAGTTGTTGTAGTTTACAGGATGCCACTCTGCGCGACTGTTGATTTAGCTTTCAACAGTTGAGGAGAAAAGGGGGTACAGGGGTGGACACAGATATAAAATAAGGCAGAGTGGTAGAAGATTATAGTTGGCTGCTGATGTACCTGTTTGGACACTCTAGGCTCCTCCTCAATGTACTTCTGCTCAATGGGAATCAATGTCCTGAGACCAGCCTTCACCTGGAGGGGGAGAGCACACACAGCTTCATAGACAGCAAAAGGTGAGAGTGATACAGATCTAGATAAAATAATAAACATATGACATGACAGGGATTAGAGAGAAACTACACTTGAATTATTTTGAAGGGATTTTAAAAGACGGCGTGCGATTGTCACAAGTAAGCACGTGCATAGAGCATGCCCCATGTCAGAGGGTAGAAAGAGCGCGGGAGAGAGCTGTAAGATGGCCGCTATAGGACACACACAGCGATGGTGAGTGGGCGAACAAAGGCTGTTGAGAGGGAGTCTTCGATAATTAAAGCCAAAACGAGGACGAGGGACAAGGGACGAGGGATGAGATGGAAGCGAAAGGAGGGGGACACACAAACAGAATAAAGACAACAGCAGCGTAGAGTGAAGGGGGGGGGGGGGGGGGGATGCTGGAGCAAACAAGAGAGGGATGTAGAAAGAGGATAATGGGGGTGGGGGCCATATAAAAAAATATGCTGGGAGGGGGGATCAAAAAAGCAAAAGAAAGACTTACAGCATTAAAAATCACGTCTATTTCGAGAAAGATGACCCCTTTTGTTGGCCCTGTCAGCTCCTTGCTTTTCAAGGCGTAGGCTTTGCGTTCTCCATTTTGGATCTGTGGGAGAGGGACATGACAGGCGTCTGTCTGGCAATACCCGGCTGAATCGGCTCCCCGGGCCACCTTTGAACCCCAGCTGCTGGCGCTGACAGGGAACCCAAAACAACTGTGGCAACTATGACAAGTACCTGTTCATTACCCAGTGCAGCTCGGCTCTGTCAAACAGAAATTAACTATCCTGGGGAATCATACTGTACAGCAGAGCATAGATAGATTACACACAGCTATTTCACACGCTACCTATATTTTTTTCAAACATATATAAATCTGTCGCTCTTTTTTTTTCCCTCTGAATCGCAGCGTTTATTCTTCCGATCAGTGTCATTTTCATATCATCTCTCATTCCCTCACTCTCTTTCTTCTCACCTATCAATCTCCTATTTCTACTCAGCCTCTCTTCCATCTCTTCTCCCTCCTGTCATTGCTTTTTCTTTGTGAAATAATAACGGCCTCATCTGTGTAGTTTGCAAAAATAACCTCTGCTTTTTATATCTTCCACCGTGTGTGTTTTCATTCTTTCCGTTCCTCTATGTTCATTCTATTATCCCCAAAGGAAACAAAAAAACACACACACAGAAATCTGCCTTTGACTCACATTTAGTAAAGGGATAGCCACTTTTCCCAGGAAGTCTGCACTTCTGTCTCGGTCCTCGTCGTAAACGGTGACCTGAAGTACGGAGTGGATGTCCTTGACGTTACTGGACCACACACAAAGACAAAACAACGGAGAGCATACTATGGGCTTCATACCAAAACAGTGTGGAAGCTATCACATCTTCCTTCCATGACTATTAAAGACACACAGGAAACAGATTCAAATCTGAAATGCTACGTAAGGCTTAACAAAGCTTAATATGAATACTCTCATTTACATACATGTTTTAGAATAACCATCCGAATGCTTATTGTGATAATGAACGACTTACAGCCCGAGCTAAGTAGAACTAAAGTGTGGAGCTCATATGTGTCATCTTTTGAAAACTAGGCTAGAAAGAAAATTGCTGGTGTTATGTATAGAAAGGAGGATATGAGAGAGACGTGCACTCAAAGAATGACTAAATTAACCCGTCCCATCGCTGGGAATTCACCAGTGGAATGAAATCGCACAATATATAGAAGATACTATGTAGAGGAGGGACTACATTAACATTTAACTTTAGCTTCAAATGAACTACATATTTAAACAAATGTACCCTGTAAACAAGGAGAAACAAGATGAGCTTTATATTTCATGATGATGTATTGATGGAGATATTGTTTTAGAGGCTACAACTTTAAGCATTTTAGGAGAAGCATTTGTTTTTTTTAATTTAAATTCAATGAATGAAAACAGCATTTCACAATAAAGCAGAATCAGTTCTTGTTTTTTATAATGCTGAGTGGTATTCAATGAATTCTTAGAAATGTAAAAAGAAAAGAGTACTTAAAGTTATACCCAGTGTAATTATTCATTTTTCAAACTCTATAATTCTAAAAAAAAAAAAAAATGTTCTTTACTCTATCAAATAAAGCGGTGTGTATCATAAGAGGCACTTACAAAGTGAAGACCTTGTTCCACTCTGGGTTGAGGTTTTTGTACACAGTGTGCGTCTGCAGCCGATCGTTGCTCAGCTCCACTACACAGAAGGGGTCACTCTTTCCTGTCAAGCACAGGACAAAAATAAAAAAACAAGCCGTCATAATAAAAGAAAGGACATAAATACAGGAGGAGCAAAACTTTTGTTTGGTTAAACTCTGGCTTGAGAAATTCAAGAATTGTAAGTGTCCAACAGCTTTTCGTCTTTGTCTTTTTCAGTCAAAAGGTATATAGATTTCTCCCCTTATAGCACATTACAGCTTCAATGCCTTGAATTTATCAGAAATTTCATAATACATTATATATAATAATTACTTATGTATATATATATATATATATACTGTATATATCAGTGGAACAGCTGCAAGCCGTTTCCATCAACACCCGGGAACATATGAAGATAAGCTTCAGGAAAACTGGACCCTGGGCAGTGACAAGGAGGGGGGGGGAGAGGAGAAAGAAAACACAGAGGACAATGTGGTTTGGAAGGCCAAAGATGTTCAGAGTGGTGTCTGAAACATAACTGCTCTGTGATTAGCGATTCTGGGTAAGCCGTACCGTAGCAGCAATGATATGAGAATAAAGTGAGAAATGACAGAGTAAACACTTCTTCCTTGTTGTTCTTTCTGCTTTGATCGAATGAAAACAGTGTGAATGTATATTATATATTATATATTATGTATATTACCCCAGTGACATTTATAGTAATATTAAAAAAGTAACATTGATCAAACTGTAGTATCCTGTAAGAATTTGTAAGAACTTTAAACACGGCCTGATGTCATTGAACATGAAAATGATTTATGGTTTCACTATAAATCATATTCATTCATGTTAATTCATTCCAACAAAACTTTCGATTCAGAATTTACTACAGTTACGTAACAGGGCAGAGAGAGACTGCAGGGAGAAATAAACATAATTACAGACTTATTCCCTCCTCCTGAGAATATCATACTGTACTATAATAATCAAACCCAGTAGTGTCCTATATATCCTCTATTTGTTTACTAACATCTCACATTTGGATTTTCTTTGTACAAAAAAGAAGAGTGAGACCAGCTCCCCATGCCTGCCAGCCCACCTCCCTACGTCTGCCTGGAAATGAACTAAAAACAACAAAACTCTTAACGCCGGCTTTGATCTTTATTTTTTTTATTCAAACTGTTTGGAGCCGCTGCGCTGTTTGTTCAACTTATCACTTGAAAAGGCTGGGTCAGGTTGTTAAAAAAATAATATGTCCCACATAAATATCCTACGAAAAAATACTGACAATATTGAAGTAGTGGTAAGGCTGCAATGTTGTAATAAGACTCAATAAAGTTGGCATTGAGTTCAAAACCCCACCGCCACTACGGTATGTGTATGTCTGTGTGCTTCCAACTCTGTGTGTGTGTGTGTGTGTGTGTGTGTGTGTGTGTGTGTGTGTGTGTGTGTGTGTGTGTGTGTGTGTGTGTGTGTGTGTGGGTGTGTGTGTGTGCGTGTGTGTGTGTGTGTGTGTGTGTGGGTGTGTGTGTGTGCGTGTGTGTGTGTGTGTGTGATTGCCATTGATTGGTGTGATTTTCTTCAAATGTTGTGACAAGGGCAGGACATTTAGTGGGTGTGCAAAGTAAATGTCACTGTGATCAATGCAGAGCCGTAGGTGTTGCCTTTCATATCTGTTTGTGGCGCCCTATTGATGTGCCGTGTTTGAAGTGGATATTGACAGCTTTGACTCCTACAATAGAAAACAAGATATGTTCAAATAGGAAAAAAGAAAAAAAAGACAATGAGCTCAAGAGGCTATTTTTCAATGTGTTTCCGTAACTTGTTTTGCCCTCTGTATTGCTCGGACAGCACAAACCTTCTGAGGAGCCATTGGAAATGCACTCAGAAAATATCATGTAAAAAAAGTCAACAAATACTTATCTTTTTTTCCCCCAGCATTTTAAATTCATTTTCACACTTGTGAACATTTGAAATCATTCCCAAGCTTCCATAGCATAAACGATTATGATGTTGTCCCCATAATCCAGGTCTGATGAAATTTATATGCAATCGGCCAAATTAAGAGATGGAAATTATTTCTGCAGAACCCCCACCCTCCCCCATTTTTCTCTCTAATATTCTGTTTTTAATGACATGGCACGCTGTGTTGCCGCAGAGAGCCAGTTGTTATTGGTGATGAACTTTCACCTTATTGGCCGCAAGCACCAGAGGCAGCTGTCTTAACCAATTACACGCTCAGGTTTGAGCGCCACTCAGAGATCGTCCAGGTAATGTCCGAGCAAAGCTCCTCCCCCCTCTGGGTCCAATCTCTGAGGCGACGGAAGACGGTTTGCAGCGGGGAGCGGGCTCAAACTCATTTCAGGGCGCCCTGAGATAAGTGTGGAGGATGAATACGGCACAGAAACGAGGAAGCGTGCTGTAATTGCCTCGCAGGAATTTTAGAGTAAGCGAGGAGTTGAAGGTTAGAGAGGGAACGCATACACTCATGGTCCTGTATGATCACAATTAATTACGAGTTAGACTCCAAAATGTAAATCAATCACATTTCTGTTGCAATAATTTTCCACTTATACATCACTTTTAATAAGGCTATACAAGATTACCTACAGTAGACCTTCATGTGGCAGGAGAGGGAAAATCTACATTCAACTGACAGGTTTTGTTTTGATATTGAGGGGGAAAGAAAGACTTCCACACACTCTGAGCTGTTGCTACTGGAGTTGTGTGTGTATGTGTGTGTGTCTCCGTGCGTGGCACTATTGAAATGTTCTTACAGTATAGCATCCACTCAGAGGGACAAGAGCTGGCAGACAAAAGGGATTGTTGGTTTTAGAGACTATTTTCAGTTATCCTACTCGGCTGGAGAGGAGCTACTCCACAAAAACACTTCAATTAGAGAGAGAGAGAGAGAGAAGGCCAGAGAGGAGAGAGAGAGGGGGGGGGGGGGAGACAGAAGAGCAGACAGGCAGCTTGAATGGAACAGAAATGGTGAACTCTTTCTGTCTCACTGACCTCTCCTCTCCCTTTCTCCCTCTCTTGCTGTCTGTTTGTCTGTCCGTCTGTTTTCTCTCTCACCTTGCTCCTGACCCTCTCTTGGTCCGGGCTGTTAAAATAGGGTGTTCATGTGGTGAGGGCTCTTATGTGGCTCTCACAGAGCTATTGTTTCTGCCAGTGACACACACACACACACACACACACACACACACACACACACACACACACACACACACACACACACAGGCAGACACACACACAGCCTAATACTCATAACAGGAATAAGTCATCTAGAAACAACCGTCTGTCTGCTACCTATATCTCGTTCTCCCTTCAGATCAACTGAAAGTTTTTGATGTTCTGGAAATCATATTTTCTTTGCCTGATTTTGAGTTCTTTTTTTTTCCATAAGGGAAAATTATAGCATACATTCTTACATGTAGAGCCAAGTTTTTTTCCCCAGTTTTTTTATTATCAAAAAGTCTCATGTAAAGACATCTTACCCCATAGTTTGTGATCTAGTATGCAAAATGTAAGTTATCCATATAAAACAGACATTTTAGGGAGAGTTCTTAATGGAAATGTTGAATACAATTTCATATGAATTTAAATGATTTCACTTTAAAATAAAGCAAAATCATATTGAATGAATATTGTTTTAATCCTCACATAAACCATCCTGTGCCGGGATGTCACAACATATAATTCAGATTTTTTTTTTTTATCCAAGAAAACAAACAGCCAGTAGACTTTATACTAGTAACTTCCACTGTTTTACTCTTTAATGTTGTTGTTGTTGTTGTTTTTTTAAGCTCCATGAAGCTCAGACTGAATGATGAGCTCTACATCGAGGTCACAGAGCAAATTTCTGCACTGAGTGAAATACAAGAGCCAGAGAGCCATTAGCCCTGCACTCCGGCTGCTCCGGTTGCCCCACGCAATAACCCAAATCAACCGGCTCCACTCTGTATTTGCTAATGGGACTGTTTCAAATGGAGAAAAACTCGAGACACTCTCTCCCTCTCTCTCTCTCTCTCTCTCTCTCTCACACACACACACACACACAGACAGACAGACAGAGACACACACACACACATTTCCTCCTCTCTCAACTAGATAATACAGAGTGAAAAACTAGGCCTGTCCACTGTAGACCTAATTAAAAGTAAGAATTAATGGAGAATGGGAGATTCAGAGAGAGCAAACACAGAAAGAGGAGGAGGAGGAGAAGAGGAGGGAGAGAGATTTGTTGGTTCAAATATGTACTTTTTCTCTATTATTCAAATGAGCACCCTGCATCTTTTCTAAAAATGCAGGGACAAATTTAGCGTCCTGCACAAAGTAGACTTTATCTCTCAGAGGATTCTCGCAAAGCATCATCCCTGAAACCAAAGTTACACCTGACTTTATTTTTGGTTAGATGGAGAAAGAAGGTGTCACATAAAATCTTCAAAATCTAGACGCAAACAGAAGCAAAAGTTGTATAAAACAAGTTTTAAGTGCATCAAAGTAAGGGTAAGGGTGAAAACGAAGGGTTTGTTTCTGTTTCTTTGGACTTCAGCTCATTGTCTTACCTGTGACATCAGCTGCCATCAGTCCCTCGGCCCTGATGACCTTCACCTGCACCACGCCGACATCTTTCAGGTTGTGGAATGATCTCCACGCATTCTGAAACATCACAGAGACAGGGGTTAAAAGGTCAAAGAGGACAGCAGATTAGCATTAAACAGAAAGTCAGGTCAATAGCCTGACATTTCATGAAGAGGGAAGGGGTAGAATATGTCCTTTAACAGTCCTCATTTGAGAATGTAGAGTTGGCATTTATAGTCGGGTACGATGGAGGACAAATGGCCAAATTTAATTTAACTTAATAGCTGTGCTCGGCTGTTTAAAACTTTGTACTTTTTGGATAAAAATCTAACTTCATTGATTTAGGAAAAAGCCATGTAACAGCTAACAAGAGAATACAGGCAGAAGAGAACATCTATAAAAGTCAGCATAACAGGGGAAGTACAACAGCATCATAGAAAGTAGCTAAATAGAAAATATTTTAGTATCACTATATCTCAAATCATATTTTAGTTATCTGTTCTGAAAAAATCAGCTGTTTAGAGAAAATGTAGTACTTGTTATAATATAATACAGCAGCTTTATAAATGTATGTTTGAAGGTTGTCACTCTGTCAGAGGAAAGACTTTCCACCTACATCTGAGTACAAGCTGGTTTCTTTTTTTATTGTCTTTTTTAAATAGAAAATGTTTTGACTGGTCTCTTTTTGTGAACAAAATACAAAAAGCGTGAACTCAGTTCTTTCTAAAAACATTATTGGATGAATTGCCAGTTTTTTTTTTAAAGGGCTGATCTGCTCCCTAGTGCACACTGTTGAGTAGATCATTTATTTAAAAGATGCTGGCTGGTATTTACTTTTTGAGTCACTCCATGATTTGACTCCATCACAATGTGATTTGTAATGAAATAGAGGTGTCAAGAGGGTGTTTGAAAAGTAGCACTTGCTCAGCAGGAGAAGAAAAAGGAAAATTTTCAGTATGAACTGAGACATTTCCTACATCAACCAAACCTTTATATGCATGAAAAAATGAAAATAATTTGAAGAAAATGTGTAAGACATAACAGCCTGATTTACAGCTGAACATATACAGTAGACACTTGGGTCATTTTGCTTTATAGAGTAAGGAAGGGAAAGGTCGAGGGAGAGTCTTTGTCCAATAATAGAACAACAGAGATGTTGTGTTGAGCAGACTCTTGCATGTCCGCACATCATAAAGATATATTTACACATTCAAGAGGAGCCATGAGGCCTTCTGACTGGCTGCAATGAGACGAGAAATACTGCATGTACAGTGTTTTAATAACCCCGAGAGTGAACGATGACGGTGTAGATATTTGTTAGTAAACCTGAAAAATTAAAGACTTGTATAAATCATCAGCAAGGAGGTGAAGCACAAGCACACACAGAGAAACACAATCATAAACTTGTGCTTTTGTTCACACCCAAGTACTCCAGTATAAACACATGCATTGAAAAGCTACACTGAGGCCAAATTGAGTAGCATGTCGGCGTGTCTTAAAAGCAGAGTAAAAATGCACTTCACTTCAATTTATTTCTCTCTCCCTGGCAATAACCCCTTCCATCCCCACAGGAGTAATTATAATTTAAATTTCAGAGTCAAGGCCAGGCTACAGACTTAATTCATTATTACCAACTCTGTCAGACTCTGCCTGTTTCCAGCGATATCATTGTCCAAAAGCTCTCTAAAGGAGATGAGAGGGGAGAGTGTGCCGAGAAAAAGAGAGGGGGAAAGAGAGAAGAGAGAAAGAGAGGAGGAGAGAGGGGACAACTCTCAATTTTAGGGCATGATTTCTCTGAAGATACAGCTGCTTGTTGTGATTATCGGGGAGCAGCCAAGAAAAAGGGGTGAGGGCATGTGAGGAGGGGAGAGGAAACAGAGGAAAAGAAAAGGGCAAACTGAAGGCTGACTACAAAATGTATTTGTTTTAAACTGTAGAACTCCCCACGATGCTGATAACCAAGCTGGGAATCGAGCATCTTCGTTTTTTTTTTTTGCCGACTGAAATGCGGCCGTAGCAACTGGTATCAAAAGGCTGACGCTGAATGTCTGATCATACTCATGATCTTGTTTCTTATTCATCAGAACTTTAGACCGTGTTTTATTGTTTATTATTGTTCTATTCTATGCTTTCTTAATCAGATCTTGATTTGAATTGAAAATTGTGCCACCTTGACTGCTTTTGCAAACTTCTTATAAGGCTGCTTTTTTAAAGACATCTAAGATTTGAGAGGTTTAGCTTTTTTTATTAAATTGAAAAGGTTATAAATATAATTTTATATTATTATTATTATTATTATTATTATTATTATCATTATTATCATTATTATCATTATTATCATTATTAAGTTTTAGCTATTTTCAAACCTTAAACTGGCACCCGAGGTTTACTAAGATTAACTGTATAATTATGCACTTTTTCAAGCAAGGTATTTTCATCACGATGGGACAATTACTTCAAGACTTGGCACAACAATAGAGTGCACATTTCAGCACCATTGATGCTGACTTTTTGTTTCCTGGTACTCTTTAAAAAAACAAACAGGGATGATGTTTTACTGGTTCTCAGTAGAGGTCAGGACACCCAGCATGACACGCGGACAATCATGGGCAAACTGAAACATCTGGAAAGTGTATGCAGTCCCTGAAATTACATATCTTCACAGAATAAGTATTCATATGGATAGAGGCTGAATGAAGATGGCAGAAACTTACTTAGGATGCAGAAATATTTTTCACCCCCCAACCCATCATCCACACTGCATCCCTTCCTCCCACTCTGCAGTCTCCCTGAGGGGACATTTAGGCTCCAGCCTCAATCCATGACTGGAGAAGACAACGAACCCATCCTCCACATGGATTCAAATCCTCATCAGAGACAGACATGCAAAAAAAGACTCATACACAGACAGGCAGGTAGAGAGAGAGATGAATGGAGGCCAAGAGCGACCCCCACTCTCTCTCATTGATGACTCCCCACACCCCCATCAGCGCAGGTGGAATGACGGAGAGAGATAAAAAGGAGGGATGAACAGAAACGAGAAAATAGGACGTAGTTGTCTTTCATAAAACAAACCCCTGTCCTGTGTTTGATTGACACGTTGTCACTGTGACATCTTCTTCCTGTCTCTGTCACACTCAACAGACACACAAATGAATCAGCCCCTGCATAGGCTTATGACTCGCTGTCATCTTTGCATCGTGTCACCTTTCATCAGCGCTCCATATAACGTTTCACACTCAGATGCACACAAAGCTTCTGCCCAGCAGCCATGCAGTTTTAGGAAAATGTAATCAAATGACTATGAAATGCAAAAAACACAAACAAAATACTAACAACTTCCTCCTCTCTCCTCCAGTTCGTATTCCTTTTCATCAACCCAGGATCACCGTCTGTCTGGAAAGTCGCAAAGTTTGCTCTCTGCCTGTCATTTATTTGCCCCTTATCTCACTTCCAGTCTGGGTTGTGTCCTTCCTCCTCACCTTAGAGCAGTGCACCAGAGAGGGTGGGAGAGGTACTGCAGGTGTGTGTATGTATGTGTGTGTGCCTGCATGAGGGTGGGTGGTGAAGTGCCACCACTTCAGCGGAGGTCACCATGTCCTCCTCCTCTCATCCACCCATCCTGCAGCCACCTTAGGCCCATTAAGAGCCATTAGTGTGTGTGCTACTTTGCCGTCATAATGCATAAATCTCTTCCTCTTCTTCTCCCTCTCTCTCTCTCTGTGTCCCTCTCTACTTCTGGGAAACAGTAATTAGGGATGAAGGAAAGGTTACGGGTAGCAATAGTACATCTAAAGCAGTTGTCACTAAGTGTATTGCACTGTGTTGCATAGAGGTCCTCCATCAGCTGCATTCAAAGTAGTTTCCAGTAGAAAAATCATGTGTACTCTTTTAAGAACGTACATGCAGTACATGCAAGTGTAGGGAGGCTCTCACAAACCTGGAAGACATGCAAACAATGCAGAACAGCTAGAATGAGAGAGAGACGTTAATAAGGTGTTCTCTAGCATCAGATCCAAGTAATCAGGTGTCTATTATCAAATTCTGTCAAAGGCTACAAATTGGGATGAGGAAAAAACACCTGCCAAATACAGCATAATATAATCATTGTGACCACATATGGTGTGAGGACTGTAAAGGTGTGTGTACTATCCAACCATAAGATTAAAAAAGGAAATTTCAAGGATTTAAATAAAGCATGTCTTATCAGACCTTCAGGTTGTTTTTTACATGATTGAATGCATGTATTATGTTTTTTAAATTGTATCCACACTATGCATTCCACTGACACCTTTGAATATTAATATTCTGTGTGTTTTTCTGATGTGCTGGCTGGGCCATGCTCCTGAAGGCCAGGGCAGGCAAAACATTTCAATTGTCTTCCCTTCCTCATTCTCATTTCTGAAGGTATCTGCTCTTTAAAGCTGTGATAATGACGGCATGCTACATGTATTTCTCCACCAACCCCCATCTTCTTTTTTATTTGACAGCTGACGCAGGAAAGAAATGTTTTTTTTTTTCTTCCATGCGTCTGTATGTGTGCGTGCATGTTTGTGATTAGCAGTTGTGCAGGACAGCTGATCTCAAGACGATAAAACCAGTCAGTTAAAATGTGCCAAAGCATAATAACATATCTACACACACACACACACACACACACACACACACACACACACACACACACACACACACACACACACACACACACACACACACACACAGGGCAGATTAGTGGGCTTTGAGCAGCACTGTAATGCATTAGTGGTGGTACTTGGTCTTATCAGAGCTCTTTGATAAGGTACATCTTTATTAAATTCTCCAACTGAAAGACGGCCAGTCTGGGGAAAAGGAATATGTTAATAGGTAGAGACCATTCAAGACTTCCAACCGACCTCGCTGTGCCCCTCCATCTGTACCCCCCACCTTCTTCTCTACCCTCTATCTCTCCATCCCTTCATCTAATGGCAGGGCCACAGTGGCAACAGACAAAGAGCCAAGGCTGCCGGGCGAGCGGGACGGAGACGGGGAGTGCGTAAGAGAGAAGGAGGCAAAGCAGAAAAAAGGTGGGCGAAGGGAAGGAAAATGTCTCGCCTTCAGCCGAGCAGAAAAACGGGGTCTTTGCGAGTTGTGAGAGAGGTGAAATAGCTTTTTCTTTTCATTTTACACGCCTTCCCTTCCCGGTGCAACCCTCATCCTTTACCTCTCGCCCCCTATTATACACACTCACACAAACACACACACAGGCATACACGCACACGCCCCGTCCTCATTTTGTGGCTGTGAGCAGAGGAGCGGCGTGTGTGTGTGTCTCAGTCCTAGAGCTCCCCCCTCTGATATTTGGTGGTTGCTGCAGCGCGGAGTGGAGTAGTCGACCTCCCGTGGCTAGCCAAAACAGGCTGCACCACGGTTATGTAGGTCGGTGCACCCATGTTCGGCCTGTGGAGTCTCGCCGCTGGTGCTTATACACACACAGAGAAAGACGCAAACACACACCAGCTGGGGGACGTTGTGTTAACTGAAATCAGAACACATCCTCTAATCTTACAAACACAGACGGCTATGTCGTGAACAGTACTGTTTGTGAACACACACACACACACACACACACACACACACACACACACACAGTTTTCACACATATAAAAGAACACAAAACTCAGGGGTACTCGTGGGAAATATTCTCCTACAAATCTCCAAGACAATTAAATGTAATAGCTCCAGATAAAGATCAAATAAAGCTTTTGTTTATGTTTTTTTTTATATATTTAGCCATTATCTTATTTGAATGGCTAAATGAAACTAAGAACATTAAATGAACAAATATCCTGTACTTTTTGCACAATTCATGATGACTGAACGCAAATATGGCTGCAGTATTGAATAAGAAAGCCACACAATGTTGGACTGATGGGCCGAGAATATCAAGGCTGTCTGTGAATGAAATGCATTCAAAGTGTGTGAGCAGCATGTGTGTGAGTTGTGTGTGAGTGTCTCTTTTGTGGTAGGGAGTGAGGACAGGGTGTGAAGGGTTAACTGGGCTAAGACAAAGACATAGGCAGAAACTATTGTGTTGATTGGAGGGCCTCTGGAGCAGATGGGGCCTTAGGGCTCCCTCTCTGTCTCTCTTTCTTCCTCACCCTCTCTGTTTAATGCTAAGCTCAAATCAATGACAACTGGCTGACGAGCGAAGACATTTTACACACAAATAAATGAGCCCACATACGTTAATCAAAAATGCACAACTCACACACAGCTCACTGCAGGATGTCGATGCAAATACTGCACAATACGGGTGGAGTAAATCACAGCAGCAGAAACAAACAAGCAATATGAGCCTCCATCTTTTCCAAACAGTTTGTTCAAAAAGCTCGTCCCGGCAGTCCCTCAGAGAGACTAGTGATCTCTTCCTTGACCTCTCAAGCCTCATGTTGCTTCCTTCCTTACTCTTTTAAACGTCACCTTCACCCACTTCACCGCTCTCTTCCAACTTCATTCCCCAGCTGTAGCTTGTTGGATTTTTTGTTTTGAATCTTAGCACATTAGTTTGTGAACAAGTGAGAATCTTCATAAAATGTGAATACTTCGTGACTTTAGAACAATTGGAAGTATGATGATGAATGTAAGAGGGAGTTGTTGTTTGACACGTCATGACACAAAAGAAACAATATTTCTTCTTTGTTGTGTTATGTCTTCAACACGCCACACAGCCGTTGATCCAAATAAGACAACACAGTTTCAGGTATGTGGTCATTTGGAAATACACAGCTTTGTTTTTTGTAGGTCAAATTGTGTGATCTTCTTTCAAAGCATCCTTTTTTTCCCCAAACGTACACAAACAACACAAAGCCATGGTTCTATAAAAACGAACTCACATATCTCTGCATGATCTGATGTCTCTCGTTCGGGTCGTCCAGCATGTTGACGGACAGGTCGGAAATGGAAACAGCAGCGGAAGCAGTGAGTGTAACCAGCAGCACCAGCACACCTTCGCCTTCCTCCAGTCGCAGATCCAACTTGTGTGTGTGTTCTTTATTGAGGAGTGACAGGTCGATGGTACACCTAAAGTGAACACACAAAGAAACACAGAAGCTGAAATAGAATTACACAATTAGTCTGCTGAGCATATCGAGTGCTAGATTTTACACCACCTAGTTTTTCTGCAGAGTTTATTACATATGTGAGTTATTAGCTTATCAAAGAGACTGCATACATTTTACACTGCACTAGAACATATCAATAACAACAACATGATATTAGTAAACCCACGGTAAGATTCATGTGTGTGCGATAGCAGCAACTGCAGACAACATTGCCGAAGATAACACAATTAAAACCTTACAGTAGGCACTGGAGAGCATCTTCTCTTGGCTGAATTGATTTTCTGGCACTCCCTTAATAAATCTCCAGTTATTATCAAGGCAAGCCAATAGTAATTATTGAACTAGGGTCAAAGAGTTCAAAGACAAGGCTTCCTCGAGTGCCTCCATTCTGATGAAAAACTCTCTTTTTTTTCCACAAGAAAAAGAGCAGCATTTATCAAAGGTGTACATTCACACAGGAACGGACGTTGAATGGGAGGAAAATGGGAGTATTTTTTTTTGCACAAAGACATAAAAGTTTTGATCTGAAATGAGTTGAAATATTAGGATACTAGTTAAGCTACACCTGCTTTCTATACAGTCTCAAAGAAGTCTTAAGTAGCTTCATATAAAGAATGACTGATGAAGACTTATGAACCTTCCCATGAAGTCATCCTTCTTGCCAGCGTCTTTGTCCCAGACTGTGATGTCCACGTAGCCTCCCTGCTCTTCATACAGGTGGAAATCAAACTGCTCTCTCCACTGAGGGTTCAACGTTTTGGGAATGGTCTGAGTAAACAACAGAAGGAAATAAATGATCTGTGAGTCCTCATTTGAGACGTGCACGAAGTAGAAACTGTACATACTTTACATATATGCTGATACAGAAAATAAAGACTGCTATAGTAAACAGGCTTTGTGAGTAATGATTAATCACCTTGCAGCTTTACAAGTTATTTATACATGCACAAAGAAATGTGATACTTTACATAAGACTTTACTGCTGTTTTAAAGAGTAAGGTCAGGGGAAAATGAACGACTGATTTGACTAAGAAAAGTGATGAGAATATCTGTTGTAAGGATGTAATGCAGAAGGGTTCTGCTTTTCTTCTATATTAAAGCTGCTGTATGCATTCTGTCTCTATAGATACATTTTCAGCTAAAAAAGTGGAAAAAGTTCAATCTCTCCTTTCAAAGGTTCCTTACTTTCTTTGACATGGATACATCCACTTTTATACAAAAGTAACAGTCTCATTAAGATTCATAAAGAAGTCCTCCCAAGCAGAAGAACGTTCACCTTGCTCTTGTACTTTTGGTGGCCCATCCTGAATTTGACGTACGGGTCGCTGAGGCCGTTGGCGTCCATGGGCTGGAGGCTGCGACCCTCAATCAGACTGATGCTGACTATCCCTCGCCACAGCTGGGCTTTTCTGTGCACATCTGACAGACGCATACTCTGATACTGCAGCAGGCAAACACACACACACACACACACACACACACACGAACATTTACACATACACAGAAGTTTGCACAAGCATGCACAGAATACACACACAAATACAGACACATTTGCATACATGAACCTCCAGATAGAGTAATGGCCTGTGTAATCTTGGTCAACAGGAGGAGGGGGGGGGGGGGGGGACAAACACATGAAGAGAACAGAGAGGAGCAGGCAAAACACACAAGATAACACTTGAACACAAAATGATAAAATTCAACACAATTTACCCCTGAAGAATGAGCTACCCTGACATACCGGCACACCGTTATAAGCATACAAGTATACAACGATTGCAGTCAGAGGAACAATTAAATCATGAACCATAACTTGGGATCGCTGAGACATCATCACTGGTTTAGTAACTAATGCGAGTGTTTAGTCAGAATCTACTGCTGACAAAACAACTACTTCTGCTCAAGAATGAGTATTTCTGGTCTTTTTCATACAAATGAATACAATAAAAATAACAAATCATTTGTAAAGGGTTTGTAGAATGTCTTCAGAATAATGGCCAAACTACTGAAATGCTGCCACAGTGCAACTCTGTACATTTCTTATTCCATGCAGCAGTACAGTAAGCTGACAGCACTGCAAATTCAGATTGATGATTTTCCATATTTTAAGGTTGTTTTTCCCCAAACAGTTTTCCTAGCACTTACAGGCCTATTTAACCTCTCTTTGAATCATGTCAGTATCCCTCACTAAAACAAAGAGCAGGGTATTTATTTGTCAAACAAACACAGCCCTCTCTCTCTTCTCCTTCTTTTTCTTCTGCCTCTCCCTCTCCTCCTTCCTCGTTAGGGAGAATTTATTAGCATAGCTTTTGTTTTGCGGGTGAATTTCATTAAACTCTGAACAAACCCTGCCTCGTGAGCGCAGGCCCTTTGATCTGGAGACGGAGCCTCTTAATTTCCATTCTCCAGACATTAAACAATGCGAATGGCTCCCTGCAATACAGCCAACCTCACATACAGCAACTCCCAACTCCCACATCTTTCAATTCTCCTGTTCGTTTGCCGCGTACACACTTTATGGTAATGATGAGAGGTCGCTCTCATGTCCTACTCAAGTACAATCCTAATTGTTTCCTTGTTTTGTTGCTGCATACTCCTTGTAACAGAAAACCATGGGCGATTTGGATGGGGAATTCACATCTTCTCTGCCAGAGCACAGCAGGAGGCACATGGTGCAGAGAGATGTTTGGAGGCTAAAAATCTCTTAAGAGATACTAACACTTGGTTTAAGAATTAATACACCCTTGCACATGGTTCAACTTTCGTCAGTTCTTGTGAAGAAGAAAAATGTTTGAAGTGCCAAAATAAGCATTTTGCCTGGTGGTAAAGTTAAAGAGACCTGCATTAATATGCCTCTGACTCATAATTATCATCTCAAACTACTTCTGGAGTACTTTGCATCTTGAGCTGTGGGTTCATCACTTGTAGAATCTTCATTAAAAAAAAGTGGTTGTTTAAAAATAACTTTGTACTGTATGCAGTCGAGCACAGAGGCAGGGAAGCACTAAGGAGCAGCGCATTTTTGGACGGGTAGCAGCACAGTAGTTAGTTAGTCAGTGTTTAAGTTAATTCCCCAGTCACAGGCAGGATGGCCCAGTTCAGAGGCTTCAAAGACTCGATTTAGGGAAGCAGCTACAGCAGGACATCTGACCAAGCTCGCTTGAAATGTAGATCTGCGTATGTAGGTGGATATTGAACTTTTTCTCAGCTAATGAAACACTCGTTGCCTCCAGATGCTGTTTAGGAGATCAACTTAGAGCAAAATAAAGATTACAGGTTCAGCTTGTTTCCCTCTACATGAAAACATTTGTCTGAAAACAAGTGTCTTAAAACAAATCTGTGAATAATCTCAGCTATGTTTGCAAAGTTGTCTCTAATACAACGCTTGCTGTATTTTGCTGATGATAAAAGATGAGTGCTTAATGCATGCACCAATAACAGGAAGCAGAACCTGGACCAGCATGCTTTCTGTTCAACCCCGACAGCCAACGAGAATGAAAAAAAGAAACCTAAAGGTAGCAGTCTCTTACAGTACGTACGGCAGGATGGAAACTCAAATAAGGTGAACATCAAAGATAAGTATTTGATGTAAAGGGGTCTAAGAGTGTCCCGTTATCAAACCTTCTTATTTCACGGTTGATTTACTGAACAGGACTCCTTTAAAACCCCTAAAAACAAATCAACAGCTGTTTTTTTCTCACACAGAAGCTGCCATACATCATGCAGGTCAATGGTGGAAGAAGCACATTATCATATGTAAACTCAAATTAGGCTCAGACATTGCATGATTTAAGAGTTTAAATAGAAAAAGGAAAGTCAAAATAGATTGCTTCAGAATATACAGTAAATCTTCATTACACTCTGGATTCTTTTGTCATTGATTGAAATCAGTGGAAATGGCTTATGGGTAAGTGACTTCAAACGTAAACACTTAATACTTCCAAAACCCAAAGTCCAATTACAATGAACAACTTCCAATCCTGGTGTATATTTGACTGTATATAACTTAAGACTTGCCTTCACATACAAACATAATCACATTTTCATCTGGGAAATAAAACGCCTTTACATCCCTTATAGTGATGTAAAAAGCAGGATGTATATTGCAGCTTGTGAGAAATAAGCCGATGGCAATGGGAACTGATAAAGAAAATAAAAGAACTGCAAATACCACTGTGGGAGGAGAAAAAGAAGGGGTGAGGGCCAGGGAGACTCCATCCATGTACCAGGACACAAGTGAAGAGTGCAGGAGAGGGGAGGTGCAGTACAGTCAGAAGGTTATAGGTAAGAGGGGGTTACATGCTGGTTTAGTTTACCTTACTAGATCGCTTCCAGTTCCTTCTCAAAAGCATGGTCTGTAAATGAGACAAAGCTGTTACAGAGCGCCCCCCACTGTCCCCCCATCGGAGCTGCAGTTTCAGAGGTTAAGGGGCATTGTGATGGATGATATTTATACGTTAGCCCTGGCCTGGTGGGGGGGGGGGAGTAGTTGATGAAGAGAGAAGAGCAGCTGGTATTCATGCAAGTTAAGCAAGGAGTGTGTGAGTAGCGCTTTTTGTTGTACCATGTTGTGATGAGGTATTTGCATAAGTAATTGACATGCCAAAACACACACACACACACACACACACACACACACACACACACACACGCGCGCGCGCGCGCGCACGCACACACACGTATACAAGTATATATAAAGTAGATGCAGTTTTCTTTGTATAACTGTTTGATAACTTCTAACAGGGCACTTCCATTCCTATACATAAAGAAAGTTAACAAAAGTCATTTTCTCTTTCTTTTGGGTCCAATTATATGGACTCAACTTTTAAAAACCATTAAACTACGTGTAGTTGACTCCAGAACAATTATTTATTGAGCAGGTAAGACGTAAAAATTAGGATTATGAACACATCCACAAAAATGCACAAGATTTTGTTGTATCTTTAACTTCAATTCATTTTTATGGAAAAGTTAAACGAATCCATGAATAAGTTGAAAATAATACATCAGAGAATCTTGACAGCTATTGTAGCACTAGTGAACTGTAAACCACAGAGTATATGATGCAGGTCATTTTATTCAGAAATATCATGAATTCCTTCTGTACACTAAACTGACCAGATCATTGGCAGTGTTAGATGTAAAAGCAGACTGAAGATTTCTCTTCTCCCTTCCATACCAGTAGGTGGCAACAGAGAGAGTCATCCAGAATGCACTAGTATAACCTTGTACCCATTTTCTGCAGTTGGAGAAATCCAAAATGATGCTTAACCTAAATAGAGTTTATTTGTTCTGTCAAATGTGGACTCTCTGAACTACGGCACTTAATAAGCAGCAGAATTAAGACATCAGATCAAAAGGAATAAAATATTTCCCTCATGACTCTGCCTTGTTCTGGATCGAGCATGCAGGGGTCCAATTAAGCAAACAAATAATTGAACAGAAATAAATGCAACACTGAAACATTGAGCACGTCCGCAGAGGCAAGAGCCAACATAATTAGTGAAGAGAATCTTGTGCTCTTTGAACATGGAACTTTTCCACACAACATATTAATTACACTTGTGTTTTTTTTTTTTGCATACGTATTTGCTCAGTTGAAGAACATCCAACAGCTGAGGCTGGCTGAAGCCAACATATTCTAGTTCAACACAGCATGTCGGGGCTTCTGATGTGCAAAAGTACACAGAGTAACACTGCTGCTGAACTTTGATGATGAAAAGTAAAGAACTCATTTTTACTGATTAGCAGTTATGCTCAACACAGGTCCTTAATCTTTCCTACTCACTCACACAATATCAGGCCTATTTTTTCCCCAACATTTGAAAGATGATGTAAAGAGAGGTAAGTTCGATTTAAAGGCGTATCTCTCGAGAAAAGAGGAGAAAACATTTTGTGTGTGCAGGAAGAGAGAAATTATGATATAATCATGAAGTTTTCTTACAGCATCCTTCATGTCCTCCTTTGGCGACAGCGTGACAGCCAGTTCCAGACTGCCCAGGTTATTTTCAGGGTACTGTGGGTCCTTCAGGTCCAGCGTCACATCCAGTGTCCTACAAGGAAAAACAGTGAACATTTACGTATACATGAAAACCTAAACTGTTATTGCTTACATTGTTCTGTACATTTCCATTCTTATAGTGCATGAGTTCCACATGTGTGCACACATACATGCATGAATTATTTGCACAACCCACCCACTTTTGTAAAGACTCGACATATTCAATCAGTTCAAGTTTGACTCAAGCGAAGCAGTGAAAAAAAAGGGCCCACTTAGCTGACCACTATTTTCTGCTTTCCTCGACTCTCTTCTGGCTTCCATTTCTTCACGGAGAAACAGAAACAACGAACACCGGACTTTGCAATCTATGCTGAAATTGGCATTAGGAGATAAAAAGCATAGGGCTAACATGGCAACTAACTGTTAGGCACGCTGAAGTATTTGTGACTTTATCTCAGTGTCAACCTGCTTGTTACTGTTTTAAGAAGTTAAAAAAGTCAATATTATTTTCACAAAATGCAAGATTGTAACCGGTTGGTCCAAACTAGCACCTAAGTTATTGTACATGTCTTATAAAACTGGGAGTAACAACAGCAGCAAAGGTTATGAAGGTTTATTAATGATCAAGTTCTGGGGCGCCAGTAGCTTAGTGGTGCATTTGTGTGCCACATGTACAGAGGCTGTAGTCCTCGGGGCGGGCGGCCTAGGTTCAATTCCGGCCTGTGGCTCTTTTCCCACATGTTATTCCCCACTGGTTCTGTTCCTTGTTGCTGCTTCTTTTCACTGTTCCTCTCAACAATAAAGGCATAACCCCCACCCCCCAAATAAATCTAAGACTTATCAAGTTCTAATTAGCAGCCATTGTCTGTAGGAAAGACAGCTAATTGGAAATACACAGTCAATCGTACGGTAAAGAATTGAAAAAAAATATTGTTTAATCTGTTACTGTGACAGAATAAAAATCAATAAAGCTATCACATTCAATGTTCTTGCAGATGCCATGTTACAATCACACAGGATTTTGGTAACTACAAACACTTCTTCAGATATCACATAACATCCATTTCAAGCAGAAAACATTTACGACACTGCAGATACACAGGTGGAAACATTAAACGTAAAGATGGTTGACTTCCCCTTATTCAGGACTAATCATTGTGTGCATGCTGGTTTATTGTCACAATCATGGCACACTGGGACTCTAGAGTAGATGTTGTTTGTCTTTTTTATTGATGGATGCTTTTTCTACTGTCGCTGGATTCAAATATCTAATGTGAAAAAAGGTCTATTTACACCTATTTTCTATTTCTACTTGACAGATAATAAACCATGATAAATCCCTTCCTTTTCACACACTTCTTAATACAATCCCACCTGGATACAGCCCTGGTATGTTTAGTGAGTTTTTAAGGTGAGATACCAAAGATGGCCACCAGAGGGAGGCAATAAACTGTATTTGAGCATGATACCAGAAGATGATACCAGAAGCAAAGAAGATATTTTAGAGGGCTGTGTGAGACTAAAATCTTTCTACACAATGGAGGATGTTTAACCAAAGCATCCCTTGAAAATGTGAATTCCTCTGAAGATGTCTTTTACTGAAGGAATACAGCTACAGTACAGCAGTACCACTTCCAATACAACCAGTGGAGACAGAAAGTTCAGCAGGCAGTTTAGTTAATATGAGGGAAGACAAAGAGACCTTTGATGTTCCAGTGACTCCAGGTGGAGGTACGCTGAGCCCATGAAATCATCCTGAAGTCCAAAGTCATAGTCAAAAACCTAAAAATAGAAAATACACAGCATCTGTCCACAGATGATATCAAAAATCACACGGAGAATGTCATTCTTGATAATCTACAATTTCCTTATTATTTTCAAACCTAGCCAAGAGAGAGAGCTGCCACTGAAAATTCAGATAAATCGAGACTCAACAGTCCAAATACAATTTATATTGCAGCAGGATGACATTTAAAGTCCAGGACTTATCTCTTGTACCTTTACATACAGCGGGTCCCTCAGGGTATCCAACAGAAGGCTAACTCTCTCCTCCCACACCGGGTTGAGGTTCTTATGGATGGTCTTACTCCTGAACACTTCCTTCCCCGCAATCTTGAACTTCACATATGGGTCACTGGTCCCTACAGGGTCAGAAAGCAAACAGGGAAAAATGATGAGGAAGAAGATGACAAACATTGGCTATTGGTTATCAAAAACATTTTTAAAACACTGCATTTACATAGAGCGAATGCTTTATGATTGTATTAACTATTATAGAATGCATACACCTGAACAATTTAGGATTTCTCTTCAGAATATGTATTTCTTTATCATAACATCTCTGGTACCATCAGACACAAATACTTTGTCAATTCTTTCCAGACACCTTTAAATACAGAGATAGTTCAAAATGCTGCTTTGAAAGCCTAAGGAGGAGACTACAAGGCATGTCATGTGACTTATTCTGTGCGTCATGTGACCGGCAGAATATAACAGTTGAAGCTGTGCACAGGTCCCATGCAGTGCTTCTATTTGACCAGTGGGTGGTGCCATTGATATATCTTTGAGTTATTCCGTGTGAGTGACTAATGTTTTTGCCGGGATAAATGAATCAAGAATCTGTATTTTCCCTTCTATAGTACACAGAATGTACTAATGTTTGATGGGCTAATGTTTTTTACAACCATGTGAAAGTGCACCAACTAACAAGTTATAATCTGGAAATATAAATATAATAATAAGCCTTTTCATATTTGCTAATAAAGCGGGTAGAATGAAGAACAAGAGAGAGGCAGAGTGATGTAATGCTAAACCTACATTTTATAACCCCAGTATACAGCAATAATTCTCGTCTCCATTACATTTCTGCTTTATCATAACCGTTCCCCAGAGGTCCATTAACTTTAGACTTTAGAGTGAAGTCAATTGGTTCCACAGGAAAGACAGAAACAAATGAAAACAAAGGCCCAGGTTTATACAAATCATAAAGGCTCTGAGGGAAAACAAGACAATTGAAGATGAGGAAAAACCTCATAACAGTGTGTATCAGAAGTGGAGCTTCTTCCATCAGACACAAGTTCAAATATTTAACTTCATCTAAATAAACTGACAAGAAAGAAAACAGGTTAGGGGAGACAGGGAGGTCATGATGCAGTCAGAGCTGTGTTTGTGCAGGAGATAATCGGGTTTACTAGCTTGTCAATCTGTTCACGTCCATTGGATATTAAAGTGGTCCACACGGACCTCGATAGGAGGAGTGATCACTTCCATTTTCCATACATTCATAGGTTATTCACATACACACAGTTCTACACAGTATACAGTGCATACAAAACAGACAGGAGAGCTTATTGTCCTTTAATATATAATTATGTTATGTGATTCTATTGAGAGTTTAGTGTCAAGATATGCTATGTTTTAATAATAGAGCTATAGACACTGTAACTGATCTCAGTAGTGAAGACACGGACTCGTCAGGAAAACATATAATCAAGAGTTGGAAAACTTTTCAGGGTGTCAGAATTTCATCCTCATGATTCTACAATGGTACCAAAAGCTTCCTCATATATAACTGTAGCATTTAGAATTCAAAACACTGTCAGATACAATTTGATAAAACATGGAAAAAATTATAATGGAATAAATCCTCCGCAGTCCAATCAGTAAATTGTTGATCACCGCATATAACACCAAATAAGGAAAGCAAATAAGATTGATGACTCTCTCTTTACTTTTATCTTCCTTTTAGACATCCTTGTTGACAAGCAGCGACTCCTTGCGAAACAGGATTTGTTTCCCCTGGACTGAGCCGTTTGTTTGTGTTGTGTGTGTCTCAAATCAGTGTCATATTATCATCTGCTGTGACCAAAGTGATTACCAGGGTGTCACAAGGGAGGGGAGTGAATCCTATTATCATGTTATTCCCACTCTGGGCCTGTGGTTCTCCTGTGTGCCAGCAACTGTCTGATAAAAGAGGCACACGACTGAAAATCAGACACTAAGGCGTAATGCAATAAATGTTAAAACTGGAGACATATGAACACAGTTAAGGACTTATGCCTTGCTCAGACTTCAGGATAATCTGACCGATTTGAAGCCCGATTCCTCCTTCCCGACAATGGCAGGGTCGTTCCCGACTCAAGGCTGCTTGGAACCAATTATCTTACCAGATTATCTTGTAGTGCGAGTTGTCCAAACGTCCCCGATCTGCTCGTCTGATCGTCTGGGACAACCCAATTCATTTCAAACATGTAAGATATTAGGATTTGAAATCTTGACGATTATGTCATGAAAAGTTCTGGTGGAAGTCACGTCTAACTACAATAACGAGGAGAGAGACAAGGGAGGGACAGTAATAAGTGGACAGTTCTGGCGATCAGCAGCAAGAAGCAACCTGCACAGCTGTGCCGGACAACTGTAAAGCATCTGACAGTTACAAACTTACCTCCAGCTCTCACTGAAGAACACACAATCCATGTTGTCCACATCTTCCCAAAACTTTTATTCACCCAAAGCTTGTTTGGTTTTTCTTTTTATGTTTGTTCCTTTCTACATAAAGCATTATAATCGCACATTTAAGCACCAGCTCCATTGTTGATGTGAGGTCACATGAGGTTGTATGTTCTTAATAAAATAAAATCCTGTAGTTTATGATGTGTCATGATCTTCATATCCTGTAGGGTGTGCATTCTTGAGATTATGGAGCAGAATATCTGTAAAAATTCTTCTTGTGTGTGTTATGATATCCCATTTCAAAATCAGGAAGGATTTTTAAACTCCTGTAGTGTGAGCCAGGCTTAACGATGAAATGTATCTGGAATTAATGTGCCTTGAACAATTTTAAACACTTAGATGACTAGCTAAAACCCCTCAGGGATTATTTAAAGTATTTCCGATTTCAAAGCATCGAATCTATGTTTCCTTGGAAAAACAGAAAAAAAAGCAGCAAGAGCAGCAAGATACCAAGCATCTGTCTCCTGCTGGGGAAAGATGGCCACTTTTTTATATATGAACATCCTTTGATACCCTTTAACACACTGCTGCCCTGACATATCAGTGTAGAAAGACAGAATAAGAAGGCAGGAGAAAAGAGATGCAGTGAGATGAAAGATAAAATATTTACAGTCCTGTCAGATATTTCAGGATACTGGAAACAGAAGCATCAAATAAATCAAACAGAATCTTTATTTCTTGTGAAAGTGAGATTTTTTTTGTGGTACTTTTATCTACACGCAAGACTAAAGAGAATTAGTCTAATGCTGCAATATGGGGGCAAAAAGCCACTTATCTCTACAACTCCAGCAGCTCTCATTCTCTATCTTTCTCTCTCTCTCTTCTGTCTTTGTGTGTCCCACTGGGTCGATATTCCCCAGACACACATCAGTGACTCCGAGCCTCTGCTTCCCACAGTGCCAGCTTTATGATGCCATAAACACACAAAGGCAGGAAAGTATGAAATGGAAAAGGTTGGTGGTGCGCTGTAGGTGGGTGATGGCTGAATATGAGTTAGTGTGGGGGTACAGCACAGAGGACTGATCGCAGAGGTGCTTTTCTAGGAAATACCATATATGACATTTCCATGCGATTCTTTATATACATGACCAACAGTTTGGGAGATTCCATAAGGAAAAGAGGGAGTAAATGTCCTGCGTAAGAGCTGGTGGGTGAATAGGTCAATAAGCACTAGGTATTATAGGATCAATAAGCTTTAGAAGAATGAGTAATGGTGGACAAAAATGTCTAAAAGCAGTTGGGTTAAGGACAGTGGGTTTGGATGGATGAGGCACCTCGGGTGTTTGTCCACCTTGTGGGCAGAAGGCTGTGAAATGGAAGTGCTCTGTAAGGAGAGATTGGTTGTAAGGAGTCAATGTGTCACTCACTGATAAACTGGTAAAGTGAAGTAGGAGCCGTAGGTGCAGCAGTGGAACGAAAAAAAAAAGTGATTTTTCTGTCTTTGTTGGGTGGCATTACTGTTGAGGCGTGTGGGCTGACTGTATGAGCTGCTGTAAAATCTGACGCAATGCGTGATTTAAAAGGTCAAAGGTGTCGGGTTTAGAAGACCAAACAACTCGTCTAAAAGTTCACAAAAACTATCAAACTTTTTTTGTTGTTGTTTTTCACTCCAACAACCAACATCAGCTACTGTATCTACCTGAGCAGGTAAATGATCTTCATTCTGCATCTGCCAGTTTGTGAAATGACAATGTGACACCAAACTTCACATTGGGATGAAGTTGAGCTTCATAGAGAAAGGGGAAATTTAGAGGTGATGTCATACTAAGAATAAGGTATGAACCAGGATGGATATAGATGTCCATGCACGTAAAGGCAGACTTTGAACTAGTGTAACAATATTTTCTACTTCACGAGGCAACTTTGTGATGTGCCAAAGACTGACCGTTACAAACTGATGATAAAAGATGTGTTTTTGTTTTTTCATTTAAAAAGCTGCAAGTTTTAAAGATTTATTCGGAAATTCACATTTCATCAAGCTGGTGCTTTACTTTTTTTCAAGAAGGTTAGAACTTGATTTATTTTGCAATATCAGATAATACTGTTGACAGTTAAACTGTTTGAGAAGCAGTCTGTAAATAATGTGTAGCAAGTTCAGTGCAAAAAAAGTGTAGGAGACTATAGATTCTATTCATTTTACATTTTATTTACATAAACACACAAAACGTAATTGCTGCCGACTAAAACAGTCGCTTTAGCACTACCAACTTGGCTATTGGCTAGGGCTGGGCGATATATTAATTTTAATAATATATCAGGTGTGTGGAAAATCTAGATTTTCTCTGTAAAGGCAGTATTGGTCATTTTTGAAAACTATCATGATTTTGAAACCAGCATTCCCTAAGTGCTCAGTCTACATCCACCCTCTGTGCTCATTCAAAGCCTGTGTTTCCCCTACCATTATATCAGGGGGGCGGCCCGTAAAGAAATTTTTATTATTATTATTATTTTTTTAAAGATTTATTTTTGGGCTTTTTGGGCCTTTATTGTAGGGATAGGATAGTGGATAGAGTTGGAAATCAGGAAAATAAGTCATTTAAGGAAACCTTTCCGATAGAAAAGGACAGCTGCCATTAAAAGTAACCCATGAACACCAAGATTCCTTCAAGTGTTTGTGTCGGCGTGTCCC